CTTATGATGATGACGTCTCTTCCGGGTTGGGTCTTTGGGCTTCAGATGTTGAGGCATTGCGACAAGCGTGGGGATTGAAGCTTCAAGGGTTTTAGGAATTGGTGTTGGGCTGTAGGCTGAGAGCACCCTGTTCAAGAAACACACAATCTTTGCATTGTAGCCTTTGAGACTCCACGGTCTTCTCCGGAGTTCTAGTCCCTCCAACCTTTCTGAGAAGAGAGCATTAAACAGGCATCCTTCCCTCGCCTCGGACGCCCTGAACGGTTTGAAGCCCTGAAAGCACGCCGTGCTACACCGTGCAGTTGACCCCCCGGGCCAGGATAGCTTCTGGCGAGGCCGGGGACACCGTGGTGTGCCGCAGCTCAGGGTTTCGTTGCGGCGTTTGGGAGTTCTACAGATCTTTGTTTGAGGCTGGCATTGCGTGTCTTGTCTGTCTTGTCTAGGCACTCTAGACCGGAGTGTTGCCTTGCTTGTTGAGGGTGCGGGATCGAGTTTTGGGTTTAGGGATTGTTGCTGATACTTTGGCGTTAGGTCTCGAGTTCAGCGTGCAGGTTGTTGTTCTTCTTTGGTTTTCGTTTGGGTTACGGTTGCAGGGTACGATGATCTATGTCCCAAAACCCGAAATCTTCTTCGGTCAGACTGCCGCAGGTCCTGGGGGTAAACTACATGAACGAGAGCTTTCTCCTGCAGTCAGTGGAGGCCATCTGGATGGTTTAGTCCGCGCACCCTAGGCCCTAAGCTCGAGCTGTGCCCACCCCACAGGCCCCTTCCGCCCGAAGCGCAAAGCCTCGACGCCAGCGACTCAAAGAAACCTACGGTCACCGAAAGGGTCCGGAGCGCAAACTCGACAATCCACAGCCCGCTTCTCAAGAAGAAAATTCGTTTAAAGAACCCCCCAAAACACAATTCTAGTCCTTAGAGCTGCCAAGCCCATGTAGCCTCAGTTCATAGCTGTGGACGCAGAAGCCCCGAGACTCTCGCCCGAGACCCCAAAAGCAAGAGGTCCGGCGCGCACAGCTCCTCAGGGAGAGGAAGTTCCATTGCGCTACTCGGTCGTCGGAGCTTGGACAGGACCCCTCAATTCTACTTGCCTAGCCCTCAACCACACCCTCGGGAGCCCCAAGCTCTTCACATTGTCCTGTCTTTGAGCATTTCTTGGGTGATCTTGGGTGAAGCCCAATTAAGTTGCTGCAAAGGCTGGTGTTGGAGCTCGAGGCCCTGGTTTTGTTCTCCGATTTCTGGGAGCCTCGAGGTTTCTTTTGCGACTTGTCTTTTGGGTGGGTTGAGATTAACCTGGAGGGGCCTTTTGTAGGCTTAGTAATAGAAAGCAAACGTCGTTGCGGCTTAGCAGTCGCGATACCTGTCACGCTGTCCATTCAAAGGGCCCATATCATGTTCGTGGTTGATCTAGAGAAGAACCGTGAATCCTGCCCTGGTGCCCAAAGCCTAAACAGAGTGGCAGGTCACGCAGGTCCTCAAGATTGTCGGCCTTCGTACCCCCTCCTCCCCTCCTTTTTCCACTCCGTCAAAGGTTTGTCAGCGCTGCGTCAGCGAGCCCGAGTGCCGTGTCTCAACACGTCTCAACACGTCTCAACACGTCTCAACACGTCTCAACACGTCTCAACTCACCCCAAAAGGGCCCAAGTTGGCTTTGAGCGGGGTTTTGAGGGTTTTGAGAGGAAGGCCCACGAAGCAACTGCTAACCTTGAGCCTTGAACCCGAAGTTTCATGAAGTTCTACGGCAGACTGCAAGTGCCCTTCTGGGGTTTGCCTTGAGATTTCTTTGGTTGTGATTGTTGGGGGCTGTTTAAGGTTTCGGCAGTGGGGCTTCTTCGCGAAGCCCAAAGCCGGTGCAAAGCCCCAGGCTCAAATTGGACACTCTTTAGGCTCCCGGGGGAAAGGCGGCTGCCGGTTTGGGTTTATTTTTCCAACTGCCTCAACTGCATGTCAAGCCACCCGGAACCCCATGGAACCCTCAACCCTCATTGCGGCTAGTGAGCTAGTCTTAGGGTTAGGAATGTTTGGGGCGCAAGCGCCCTGAAGTCCAAAGGTGCTCTTGTCAGTCTTCGGGCTTTGAAGAGCAGATATTCGGGCGGATGGATTTTGGCTCTCGAGGAGGGTTTTTGCTGGGGACCGGAAGGCCTGGAAGCAAGAAGCTTGGAGGCAGCGCCGGGCTTAGAGTCGGGGAGTGTAGGTTGATTCTGCATTTGGGCTCAGAGCTTCGGTGTGTCCTTCAGGACACTAGAGGGTGCCGGAACCAGAGAATTGAAGCCACGTGCTCCCGTCGGAACCTGCGTATCTCTTCGGTCTGGCAGTGGAAGTGTCGTGGGGGAAGGGCTTCAAGGTTCGTGCCCAAGGCAGTCCAAAGTCCGCCTAACCCTCCTGGATCAGATTCTGTGGGAGTGCAGCCCTCTGAGCCGCTCTAACTAGTTTGAATGTGCCAGATCTCAAGGTGGAGGGTTTCATCAGAGTCAGATAGCGTAGAGACTTGCAACACTTCTGTGCTTGGCACAGATGCCTCGATTAACGGTTTCGGCGTGAAGTATGGCAAAACGTTTCAGTTTACTACGTTTTGCAGAGGCCCGTCCTCATTGCCGCGGGAGCCAAGCCGGTCACAGGCGCTCAAAGCGGGGTTGCATGTCCTTGTGGATCCTTGGTGCCCAGGACCCAGTCTGCATTTCACGATCTGGACTGTCTTGACTTGAATCACATAAGTGGCCCAGATTGGCGGAGCGTTTGCCCATTGACGGTGATGTTGCCATCAAGAAACCAATTATTTCTCTCAAACCCTTTGTCCCAATCAGCATCGCTGCGACCCCACTGGGGCCGTCATACAGCAAGATGTGCGACGTCGGTTGTTCTCTTCTTGCCCGCTGCTGAAGTTTGATGCTGCTCCTCCTGGGCAGACGTCCTGCAAATTCTCCACGAATTTTAGTTTTGCCACTCTTCCGCTGATTTCCTCAACTTTCTGAAGATTTTCCGCAAGCTATCCCAAAATTTGACTGTTCAAGTGTTTAAACCGTTTAATGCTTAGCAATTTCAGAACAGTTTAAGAACAATTGAACGATGCAGATCTGCAGAAGCCTCGTTTGCTTAGCCACTGCGCGTGTAAGCAGAAGGAAAGAAAGGAAAGAGCATGCATGAAACAGAAGCCCCCCCTTCCCCTGCTCTTGGCCCCAGGCGCCGATCGAAGCTTCGAAGTGCGAGGCCTGGAGCCCGGAGTGTTACAGTTGGTCCATGTTGGTCCATGGAGGGGCTTTACGCGGGGTTTTTATCGCCTCGATCTCAGTTCCTCCGCACCTCGGATTGTACGAAGTCATTGGGCTCCCGGTGTATCGTGTCGGGATCCTTATGTTGAGGCTGGCGGGTTCATGAAGTCCAGGAATCCAGGGTTGTATGAGGTGGCTTTGGATCTGTTGGCCATTGGGGTGCAGGCGGAAGGGTCAGTGTTTTTTTTTTTGGGGCTTTGCTGCTGCGAAAGCCTTTTTGCACGAAGCATCCGGGATTCCAGGTCTGATGATGCCCTGCGTCCCCCACTGCAGAATTGCGCTGTGGCCAGGGAGCCGCTGACTCCGCTTCAGTGCAAACAATGACGAAGCGGCCGTCATCCGAGGAGGGTTGCGATGGCCCCAGAACGCTCGACCAGTGTGGTGAAATTTGCAGTGTAATGGTGTGTAATGTTTTAGTTTCCGGCTTTGGCGCTTATTGGTTTCGGGGCTGTTGGTCGGCTTTTCAAGGTAGCATGTGCCATCCGGTGTATAAGGAGAGTGAAGCTGGAAACGCTCTTGGAACTCTCTGTGGCAACATCATGGCCCTAAGTTCAGGGACTTGCAACCTTCCATCACCTGCAACCTTACGGCTTTGGGTCTGGGCTCCTTGGAGTTCTGCATTGCAAGGTCAAGACCTGTGTACAGTCGCAGTTGTAGTCAAGGCTTTCATTCCTGATGTGTTGTTCCCCTCCTTCTAGAATACACATGAAGCCACCGTGCACGTTCGACTAGAATCCTGAATTGGAGAGCATCTGAAGCCCCATCGTGTATGTAGCCCTCTGAAGCCTGGCTCCAAACACGAGGCCCTGGCAGTCCGGGCAGTCCGGGCAGCCCTGGCAGTCCTTCCGCGGTCTTCCACAGCCTCCACGCTTGCCTGCAGCTCCTGGGAGCCCTTCAAAAGACACTCCGGGCGGGTGGAGTGCAGGCCGGGCTTCTGTCATTCTGGGGCTGCGTGGCAACTTGATGGGGCTTGGGTGCTTTGTTTGTTTGCCTGATTAAGCGTGACCATTTTTTTTGGGCGGTACATCTGAGCTGCTTGCTGCCCTCTCCTGCCGACGCCTCTCAAGGATGTGTCCGATGCACTTCAGCAGCTGGAGATGCCCAGGATGCCCAGGCGGACAAAGCGTGGACAAAGCCCCCCCCCCCCAACAAAACCGAACACGAAAAGCAATGGGGGCAAGCCGAACAAGCCTGTTTGTCTCTCATTTTCTCCTTTGGAACACCAGCACCAAGACACAATCTTTTTGGGAAAGTGGATCCAGTTCCGTGCAGGGCAGTTGGGGAGGAGCCTCTGCCAAGTCTGGTGGAGCAGCTCAACAGCCACTGCGCTGCAGGTGAGCGAATGTAGGCTTTGCTTGAGATGGCTTGGCCCGGTACCCAGCAAACTGAAGCCCTGAACTCTGCACCCTCTCCGGTTGCAGAGGCTCTCTGCGCGAGGGAGGAGTGCAGCATTGGCTGCGAGGATCCCGCCATGGCATATTTGGACGCAGTTTCGGGGAGAAAGGGCTGCTGTTGAAGCTGGCATGAGTCTGCACTCATTCCGCAGCTCCACAGCTTCATTTTAAGCCTGGCACGCTAAAAGTAATTAACACGACGAGCCACGACTGACCGTTATCCAAAACGCCAGGCATCGTTTCAAGATGGCGCCGCAAGTAAGCGCTGCAAAGTGGCTTCGCCAGAGGCTTTGTTGAGCCAGTAGGTCTTTCAAAGCAAAACTCGCACGCAATCGCCATGGCGCCTTGCACGCGGGTGGTGGACATTGAGGCGACTCCAGAGACGATCTGGACATACCTCGCAAACCTCGAGCAGTGGGTCGTGTGGAGCTGCTGAAAATGGCTTCCGCTTTCGAATGCTGACCACAAGCCTAGACTACTAGTTAAACCGGAAAGTCTCGAATCCAAAGTTGAAGATCCTAGAGCCGAAGCCTCACAAGTCTTCATACCCTCAAGCCCTAAGACCTCACACGCCTTGTAACCACCAGTGCTTCTGAACCTCAGGTGGGATCCCGACATGAAGGCTGTCCAGGACATCCAGGGCGGTGGAATGGCCAATGGAGGCTCTTTCTTGGCACAGCTCGAAGCGCTCTCGACGAGGTGGACTTGGTTGCCAGGGTACTCTGGCGTCTTCGTGGGTTTGTGGGTTTGTGGGTTTGAGTGGGGCTTGGTGGGTGTGTGTGTGTGTGTGTGTGGGAAGTTTTCTTGAGTGATTCTCAGGGAGCTTGTGTTTCGCGATGTTTCGCGTTTGTGTCCGTTAGATATCTGGTTGGAGCTTCGGGCTCGGTGGTCTGGAGCGTCTGCTTCTGGCCTCGGGTCTTGCCTTGCAGTGTGCCAGATGAAAAGAGGTGGGCTCATGGAGCTCTCCACATGAAGGGGTCAAAGATTCAGGGTTCTAAAGCCGTAAATCCGAGAACAACTCAGCAATCCCACACGAAATGTTTCCCCTGTACTCCCAATATCCAATTGAGCCCTCGGTACGGAGGCCCTACAACTTACGACCCTAGTTCCGGATATCGAAGGAACGCCCTTTCCCAACAACCATCCGACCATCATCCCGCAACCCGGCAGGATCCATTTCCGGGACGTTCAGGCTTGGACGTTTCTGTGAACGCTGCTTTTTGATGATGACCCCTGACTTGGAGAAAGCAGCAAGGTGAATCGTGAAGCAAAGTGGGGCGGCTCTGCAGCAGGCGCTTACTTGGGTCAGGGCTTTGGGCAGTTAGTGGGCGTCATGAACACGAAGACAAAGATGGAAGGGGATCGTCGACTACTTACTCAGCTCGCTTGTTGAGGCGTTCTATTGTTACTGTACGAGTCCCAACAGCGGCCAAGCCCAGTTGCAAAGCTTCTTTTCCAAGAGAGGTGGCTGCATCATTTTCGACGCCTTCTTCAAGTTGGATCCTCTTTCGGAGTGTCAAACCCGCTTCACCTACGTACCTGGGCGCAGAGTCTGCGAAGTGCCAAGTTTTCAAAAGCCAAGTTTCTGCGGCCCCGTTTTGGGGACCCAGGCTTTAGCTTCAATCTCGTCTACACGTTGAAGCCAAGAAACCATGGAAAGCCGGTTTTTTCGGGGCCGGTACTCTGAGGGCTCGGAACTCCATGCCAAGGAGTTCCAGATGCGGGGCTGCCTGGGCAGCCTCATCGATTGCTTGAAGCCACGGGCTGCGATTGACGGCGTGGAGAAGCTTGTTTAGTTAGGGGGGGGGGCCATTGTGGAGTATGGAACACGTATCAGGTTGTCGTTTGTCTTTTAGTGTTGTGTCTGTTTAGTGTTGTTTGTTTTTTTCATTGTCAAGCACAAGAAGCATGAACATTGACTTGTGAAAGTCACTCAGTGGCTTAGTATGATAGCTAGATGCCATATATTTTTCGACTATCCGCTGAGTAGCTTGGAGAAGAAGGCGTTAAGGGGAAAAAGCTCCGCCCGCCCATTCCCCCCAAAGAAACACACAGCACAATGGCTCACAAGCCCGAAGCCATAGAATGACTAGCAAGTGGCCCCAACTAAATAACACGGAACTAAAGCTCCCAAAACAGCTGATTTCGTGCTGCCTCTCCCAGGCAGGGTGCGGCCAACATCAAGAGCCGCACCGAAGAGCTGCAGCGAGCAGCCATGTAAGGCCTTTCAGCCGTTTCTGCCTATGGGGGCCGCTGTAAGTTCTTGAGGGCCAAGGCTTCTAGTGCTTGAGGTGCCCCTACAGGCTGTCAATGGCCTTGTGTTTCCTGAAGTCCGAAGGCTCTTCTTGCAGGTGTACCTGATGCATCCCGGTACCAACGACGTAGGCAGTACAGGTCCGACTGATGATGCAGTGCGAGCCATTGCTACTAGACAACAACAAGAAACTTCAGAATCCACAAATCAATTTGAGGCAACCCCTGCGAAGCAGGCCTTACAAAGCACCGCCTCAACGACTCAACGCTTTCAAAGACTTTGGTGTTTCCTGCATGCTGCCATAGAGGCGGGGTGCTGCGGAGTGTGCCAGCGTCCAGCGGACTAGCCCAAGCACACTTGCAACAGCATTCCTGTGCACGGAACACTTTTCTAGCTGGGAGGGATAAAGCTGCGGTGAAGCATCGTAAAGCATGAGCTCTGATACGAAGGACACGGTAAGGTACACATGCGGCACATAGCCAAGGAAACCCTTAGAGAGGCTCACGACCCTGGGGCGGCCCACAGCATGATCTCGAACTCGGCCCCTGAACAACCTTTCATTTTCCTGAGACCCACTTAACATTAGCCGCCTAGTCCTAAGTCCGTTTTTCTTCTTCCTGAATCCCAAAACCACAGCTCAGAGGCTTAGAAGCTTACATTAAACGCCAACATTCCTGCATCATATTCCCCGAGATCATCCCAACTTTCATAGTTGTACCCTTGGTGGCGATCATTTCAATCCCTTGTTGCACGAACCCTGTTATCAGCGAGAACTTGTGACTGTTGGTAAGGCAGTACAGCTTGTAGGAGGGTTGCACGAGCAGTTTGACTTGCGACGTCTCGTGCTCACCCACATGCACGATCCGCACCCGGCACAGCAAAAGACCCACGGCTAGTGACGAAAAAAGTACCTGTTGCCGACCTGGTTCTCAGGTTTGGTTTCGGTTTCGCGTCTTTGGGATGCACCTACATTTCCTAGACCTGAACAGCCAGAAACTGACCGAGACTCAAGAAACTTGCCTTGATCCTCTCCAAATGTCATCACACGTCAAGCTTGAATTCCAGGAGCTGCGCTCCTTGACAACCCTACAAGGCCCTACAGTCAAAACGCCTGGAAGTAAGCTGCAACTGCATTCTGAAGCACCCTCTAAAACCTCGAACCGTGGATTTCATGCCGTGCGGAGGCCACATCCCACTTTCATATACCCGTTTCCGCAGGCAAAGCCGACACGCTGTCGATCCTTCGATCGCTCACATCCTTTCAGCTCTTGGAATTCGACTATAGTTTTTCGGTCTGTTTTGCCGATTCCTGTCCTCGTGCTTACTAGCACGCTTGTGGGAGCAAACGCGTGCTCTTGACGGTTGTTCCCGTAAAGCCTGAGAACTCAGATCCCATGCGAGACCTTTCCACCCTGCAGCCCTAACTGTCATCTTGAGTTGTTTTGATAACTCCTCCCAGGAACGAGGGTCGCATGAATCAAGACTATACGTAAGCATCGTAAGTAGTCTTTGCGGGTTTGTTTTCGGGTTGGGGCTTGGTCTGACATGCTTGTAATTGAGTCAGACAGATTGATCCGGCTTTTTGCTGAAGTGAAACAATCAATCGAAGTAAAGCACTCCCTGCCATACTGTGCCTGCTCGAAAAAGGGGTCTCACAACACAACCTGCCTTCCGCTTCTCTCTCATGCACCATCTTTGGAAACACTTTGGGAAATACATTTCTCCGTTGACAACCCCTTAATAATTTGAAAGCCTCCGAGTGGCCTAACGTAATGGACATCGTTCGTGAAACGTTTCGGGGCGAGTCTTCCGGCCCGAAAAGTGTTCCCGATCAGCATTCGTTCTTGAAAAAAACAATATCAATATTGCAGCCCTCCGATCCTCGGCCGCTAAGACTCCGAACCAGCAAAGAACATACACAACTTTGAGACGGATGCTCCGCCGAAGCCTTTTGAACTTCATTTGCCCGCGACGGCCAGGGCTCTTGTTGGTATCCTTCTTGTCTTCTGTTAGTTGAGGGTTATGCTGGTGTCTTTTTTGTTTTCTCTTTCTCTCTCTGGCAGACTCTGCAGACTTCTTTGCTCAGAGTTGTGGCGGCCAGGAGCTGGGCAAACAGCCCAGGCCGAGGCCTCGCCTGGGGCCTTGGCGACTTCGGTGGCCCAGGCCTGGAGCCCTTCGTCGGTTTAGGGCTTAGGGGTTTTTAGGGTTTAGGGTTTTGGGGTTTTAGGGTTTTAGGGTCTTAGGGCTTAGGGGCCTTCAGGGCTCTTCGTTCTTTGATTGGTCAAGGCCTTGCCCACAAATTAGAGCCGTGAGCCCTGGAGCTTTTGCAAGAGCGGCGCGCAAACGCGTGGCGCGTGGCAAAATTCCAAACCCCCAAGCCCAAATCGCGCACTTCAACTGGTAGAAGGAGTGGCGAGTGGCCCCAAACCCGGAACACAGAGAGGAGTCCCCCCCCGAGCCTGAAAGGCCGGCCCAGACACAGAAAAGATCCTGCCCTTGCAGAGGACTCCAATAAGAAGAAGAACCCTGCGAACCTTGGGCTGTCTCAGACAGGTTCAGAGTGAACAGGTTATTAAGTGTGCCTGGAGCCTCGGGCCAGGAAAAGAAGTTCGACTCCATGGACTGAGCCAAGCCGGAGTCGCGGTCCCGAACGAGCGCCCAGCCCCGCAAGATGGAAGGCCAAATGGCCAAAGCCCACGAAGCCCTCTAAGCCACGGGGCAGAAGGTTTTCTTGACTCTGGGCGCTGCTGGCAGTTCCATAGGGTCTTGTCACCTCCTGTACATATCGGGGCAGTCTCCAGGATCCCCGAGTCTTCAAAGCCTCAAAGGGAGGCCGACATGAGCAGAAACCGGAGTAGAAGCCCTTGAGAATCAGTTGCCATCGATCATTGCGTGGATTCCTGAGGGAGCCTGCCTCATGAGGCTTTGGCATTTAGCCTGCGAAGCGGAAGTCCTATCGGTTGGGTTGAGGGTTTGGAGGGCTGCAGGGAAGCCGTGCATGCAAGGTTTGGAGCACGGAAACAACTGATGCATCCTCGCCCGAAAAGGAACACGCCAAGTAGGTACCATGTTGCACCGTTTTTCGCGTGCTTGGCTCTTGTTCATAGAGGTGGCGAGTCGGAGTGCTCTGCTGGTTGCCTTCTTGTCTTGCTCTTTCCTGAGTTTCCGGAACCTACAAATAAGCCCTGCAGAATTTCAGCCTGCAGCCTTGCCAGATTCGGGCGCCGGGGGTGGTGGCAGCGCCCAAGGCGTGGATTGCGACATGTGTAGCCCGTGGGGCCGTAGGGACTGCAGATGATTGTCGATGATCGTCGTTGTAGGGTTCGGAGTTTTTGGAGCAAGGTTTGGAAGCCCAGCACTAGCCAAAACTGGAAGCCCTAAACCCCATGCCCCAAGCTGCAGCTGCTGCATGTGAAGCTGAGCTGCCTGGTTCAGAATTTTGATGGTGTTGCGCGCGTATGTTCCATCAGTTTTGCAGGTGCGGGCTTAAGTTCTATCGCAAGTCTTGACCGCTTTTCGCTGCCGTTCTCTTTTATGCTTTTGAACCTCTCCCAGCTTGCCTTCTGGCAGTCAAGGGGCAGAAGGGCTGTCCACCAAGATTTAGGCTGCAGGGCTTTGTCACCCGGCAGGCGCTGCCGCCGCCGCTGCGGCGGCCCATGCGGCAGCGGCTGCCGCCGCGGCGATTTCAGCCCTAGGCTGCTTCTTTGTTGCTGTCGTTAGGTGCTGTAGTTGTTGTTGCTTGCTTGCTTGCTTGCTTGCTTGCTTGCTTGTTTGTTTGTTTGTTTGTTTGTTTGTTTGCTTGTTTGTTTGTTTGTTTGTTTGCTTGTTCGTTTGGTCGCTTGCTTGTGTGGTCGCTTGTTGTTTTCTTCTACTCTGTGTGTGTGTGTGCGCACGTGTCTTTTCAGCATCTTTGAGAGCAGGAAGACAGGAAGCAACCAACAGAAGTCATCATGCTGTCCGCAGGGGCGCCATTGGATCCCGGCGGTACCGCGAGGTTGGAGTGCGACGCGCTGCGTGTGCAGATGAAGGAGCAGGCCAGTGGCCACAGTGGTGCTTGGAACCCATGCACCCCAACTGGACCCTACTTGTTCTCACAGGCATGAAGATTTTCCAGGCTTCTGCATTTCATAAACACGAGTTTTGATGGGCTGGCGACGACATACCCAAGACCTTTGCGGTTCAACCCTCCAAGATCTCAGGAGGGCCCCAAACCCTGATTTCTCATGGGGCTTCCCGCTTAGGGTACTTTACTGTAGGGCTTTTACTAGGCCAAGTCAGGGGCTCGAGCTTCAGGGTTTAGGGTTCGAGTCCGCTGAGAGGGCTTGAATCTGGATTGGAAACAGGTTCTGGGCTATGCCCCTCAACCCTGAACAAGTCTCTCAGGTTTGTGGGGGAGCTTGGGATCTCAGCTGCTGTGGCATTGAGCTTCGGAGGACGCCGAGCTACGAGCCGCAAAGCGGCGAGAGGAAGAGCTGCGGCGGGAAGTGGAGGAAAGCTGCGGTGTTTTGGGGACGTTCAGGGTGTCTCTGGATTTGGATGCTTCAAGGGCTTTTCCTTACCCACGTTGGTGACGGCGGCTTTGTGTGGTGTTGTGGGCCGTGGGGGGACGGGAACATGTAACACGCAAGAACTTGACCCGCACGGACTAGGCGAACCCTTGCTACACCACAAAGTAGTACTTCCCGATGCGGTTTTGGAAGCTGGGTTAGTCAAACTACGCAGGCGTTGATGCTCCATGCAAAGAGGGCGTTTTTTGAAACCAAGCTCGACAACGACCACTCGCCCATGGCAGAATGATCGTGCTGTGTGCGACATCAGCTAGGTGACTTTGGTGCCGTAAGTGGATGGTAAGCGGTTTTGCTTGTTGGGAACTGGGTTTTTGAAGATAGCACCTTCGAGCTTTTCCGCGGCTTCGATATCATTGCTACCGACGTCTGCAGATCCACATCCCGCCGCTACCGTGGCAAACCCAGAAGATTGTCTGCTGGGGATTTGCACAGGGACTGGCGGCGGTGGCACGATGATCGGAAAAGCCCTCGTCTGATACCCGCGCAACTGGCAGTTTTTTGGTGGATACACGGATACGCGACGACCTCAAACGATGTTTCGCGCTTTTGCCATAGGGGCACTCAGACGTATTTGTTCAAAGAAGTGAGGCGTGTGACCAGCTTGGCTTAGGCGATGACATGCGTGAGAGCCAGAAACCTGTGCTTTCAAAATCATCTCCTGGCAGACGCTGCTGTTTTAGATGGCTATTACACCAAGTTTGGAAGACCTGCTGGCATGTTGGCAGCAGATCCCCAACAACACCCTCATTTTTAATGACTGTTTGGCAGCAACAGAACACGATTGCCGAAAGTGCGTTGGCACATCGAATGTAACTGAGTGGTTGGGTTGCGAAAGTGAATGCCCAACCCCAAGCCTGCAGTCAGCTGCCAGAATTGTTTGTTCAACCATCAACCCTCAACCTGGGACCCTCCCTCCACCCTCGACTCCCACCCTCCCTCCACCCTCCTCCCTCCATCCAGCCCTTGACTCCCCTCTCCAGACCCAACTCCACGGAGCTGGGATCCCAGGAGCTTCGGGCGGAGCGGGAGGGCCTTCTCCGAACCGCAAGCGAGGCCAGATATGTGGGGAATCTTCGTGGGCTCTTTGTGACTGAAGGCTGTGCTTCTGGCCTTTTCGGAGGATGCATCTCTTTGCATGTGGAAATGTGAGCCCCAGAAGCATGCTCGGATGGTTCTGCAACGCCCGGTGTGGTTGGTTTCAAGGGCAGCCCATCTCACTATCCAACAAGAAAGCCATTCACATGAACCGGTTTTGGGGTTTCAGATTTCAGTCTTTGCGAGGACATCTGAACATCTTGGACCCAGACCCCGCGCCCTGCCGGCTCACATGCCAGCTCTACAGTTCAGTTCTACCCACCCAAAACAAGCCCGCTAAATTTACACCATCTTGACACGGTTCTGGAACCCTAAGTCCCGTTTCTGAGCGTCCCCCACACCAGACCTGTCTACCATCGAGCTGACCACAACCTGAAGCTTACGTCCAAGTGAGAAGCTCTCAAAGCCCTGGGCCTGCTTAAAACCTGCTATGGCACCCTGGCTGCCTGCATCAGATGCCGTTGCCTGGGCCATGTCCCTCTTGTCTTGGCAAATAATCTGGTTTGCTTCATCTCTTCAGGGTATGGGACGCGTTTTTTTGTGTGGCACATGTTTTCAGGGGCCTTTCACAGCTCAAGCGATGCTGCAGGTTTAGGATGCCTAGGTGTTTTTTTGTAGATAGACACAAGCATGGAGCTTTGCAGTGAAGGAAAGGGGCCAACCAGTGCAGCGTTCCTTTCTGTTCCCTAAGCACCCTAGGATCACTTGACAGATTGGGTGTCCGTCTCTCCCATTTTGATGCTGGCCAAGCAAGAGGCCTGGTAATCGTAATGCTTAGGCTACTTTTACTCTGGGCCTGAATTTGGGCGCTAAGAGGTTTGGGAATTCGACTGTGGGAGGTAGTCTGCACAAGATTCAGACCGAAGAAGTTCAGCAATTCTTCCCTCTCTGATGCAAACACGACATAGCCTGCCATCCTGAGTCCCATCCTGAGTCCCAGGTATCTTTCGCACTCTTGGACCGTGACTGGTGCAGGGTCTGGATATTGTTGGACACAGACTCTCGGCAAAGCCTCCAACCAGAAGCTTTCAGTTGAACAAAGGGGCTGTTCTGGGACGGGTTGTACCCTAAGACCAACCCTAAAGCCCTAGAGCCCTTAATTCACACTCTGTGGACCGAGATCCGCAAGCACTGCAAGCACCCTCAAGAATCCCAGCCTTCACCCTCATAAAGCTTGTAGCTGTATTCAACACCCTTGTCAGAAACTTCTGAAGCGGGGTGGGATGCCCAGGCGAACCCCACACACCCCCCCAAGCATGGAGAGTGACCCTGAATCCCAAGCCCAGTTGCAACAACTTCGGGCTCTTCTGCCCGGAGTTCTGTTGCCAGCCCGCAAATGGCCGGGGCAACCCATCCTGTTACTTGGCTTGAAGAACTCGCCTCATATCCACTCATTCGTCCCTGTGGTTGTTTCGCACCCATGATAGTTGCGGCTGTCACCCGTTTCTGCGGGTAGGTTCGGCAATAGTGCTGCTGAATGATTTGCACAGGGCTTGAAGGGTTTGGATGGATTCACAGGCTTGTGCGGGTGGGGTGTCTGTTGATGGCTTCGTGGGTATCGAAAGCCTAGTTCAAGCTTCAGGGCTTTAGGGTTTTCGGGGGGCTGAGAGTTTTCGGTGCGTGGCAGTCTGGGCAGTCCTTTGGTGTTGTTTTGCCGGGATGGACTGAGATTGCCACTTACGACTCCCAGATGGATATTATCCTCTAGAGTTTGCTTTCCGACAGTTCTGCGTTGTGTTGGTCCAGCACGTTTTCATCCACACCCATGATGTCCTGGCCAAGACTTCCAAGACCTCGGATGACCTTGAAGAATTCAGGGCTTCTCATTCCCCATGTTCCTACTCAGCACTTTTTGCAAGCTTGTATCTCCGGGCGCAAGTTTATCTGCTAGCAGTCCGCATTACCCACGACTTAGGGACCCAGGCTGAAGACCAAGAGCCTTTGGTCAGAGATAGGCTTAGGCTCTGGTTTAGCATGCCGTAGGTTCTGCGGCTGGAGAGACTTCAAGGCTTGGGTTCAGAGTGCTGGTTTGCATGATTTCATTCTTCGGGCTGCAGGCTTAGGACTTTGATTTCGAGATGCGGCTTCTAAACCGATAAACCCTGAGCTCAGAGCTCCTCGGCCCTTACAGCAAATCTCCATCAGACTCTGAACTGGAGGTTGGGACGAGCATGGCCACTTCAGTTTCCAGAAGCGTGGCGATGCCTTCATCAGTGTTTTATATTGTTTCAAGGCTACGGTGGCTTTTGTGGCTTTTGGGTTCCGGCCGCACCAACACTCGAGGGTTCAGGTCAGGCATTGGCCTCGAGGAAGTTGGCGACGAATGCATGACAACATGTGTGTGCAGTAGCTGTGTTTTTGTGGGCTTCATCCATTCCAAGTCTCGAACTTCCAAAGTACAAACACCTTGTCCCCCCTCCTTAACAGCACTGGTCAGGCAGACTTCATTAGGACAGACAGAAATGCAGCCGAAGGGTGCTGAGGGTCCGCATATGTGCTGAGAAATTGGAAGCTGACCCAAATGCAAACAGCCTTCGAGGAAATGCTGTGCCGACCTCCCAATGGTGACTGACCCGGAGCCCGAAGCAGCCTCGCATCTGCATCGGGTTCAGGGTTCAGCAAAACACGTGTCGTCAAGGCCACTGGCTAGTATGTGCTGGGAGTGCACGAGGTTACTTTAAAGAGTCATACAAGTCTGCTCGATATAAAGAACCTGCATCCTTCAAGCCCGACACCCTACTGCATTATTCTGACCTGTGTGTTCAAGGGGTTTCCGGGGTTTCTAGTCCTTGGTGCTGGTCTCTGGTGGCTTCAAAGGCTCTGGAGATCCGGTGCCGCAGAAGACTTTGCCATAGGACATCAAACAACTTCAGAACCTAGAGTTTAAGCCGACTGAGGGTGCACGCTCTCATGTGGCATACATAGCGCTGGCTTGTGGCCACACCCTCCCCAAAGGCCCAACTCGCGATACCCTGGACTGCAAAATACCACAGCTGAAGCTGTAGCACATCTTTACAGCAGAGGGGGCTTCAACATGGAAAGCAGTTTTGAGGTACTGCATGTAGGTACCTTTGGCAGGTTCCCTTTTTGACATCCATACGTTTTAGAATTGATATAGGCAGGGTACTTAGCTTGCGCCAACTCTCTCCTGCCTCCTGCCTGAGTTGACCACATCCCTCGGCAGCTTGACCTTTGAGCTCTATCGCGGGCCGTCGGACCACAACTCACCCAAGGCTTGGCTGTGGGTTTCGGTGTGTTTGGGTACGGGAGGTCTAAGAGGGGACGAGGTGCCCTAACAGACGTGACTCGAAAGTGCCCGGGCCCTGAACTTGTTTAGAGCACTGTACCCCAAACTTAGGCCAAACAGACTCCAAGCTTGAGAGCCTGACCTTTCATGCCATGCCGAAGCCGCAGCCTGGCTAAGACGAAAGTTCAATCAACCCCCAGTCAACTTCAGTCAACCTTGCAACAAACTATGAACAAGCACAGCTACCAGGCATTGCCGTGTGTTAAAGTCTCGCAAATACAGGAGCCCTACACAAGCCGAGCCCAAAACAAGCCGCCCAAACAGGCCAACGAGCGAACTCTTGAGGTGGCCCTGGGACTGTGGCCTCTCGGATGCCGGGGTGTTGGCGGAAATGTTTTGGGGCGTGGTTTGGAAGAGTCTGGAGATGGTTGCGGATGCTTGGGGGATGTGTTTGTTTTTTTTTGGGTGCATCAATGGGCACCTAAGAACTGAGTCTACTTAAGCTATTTCCACGGAATGGCTTCAAGCAATTTTGAAGCCAATAGCATCCCCGAAGCTTCCTTATCAACACTCCCCAACACTCCTCGAACGCGCCTTGAGGCACACAAAACCGCAAAGCCCCCGAAACCACCAAACGCCTTTGCACACCGTCAGGTTCATGCGCCGCAGCTTGTCGCGGCTTTCCAGTGCCCGGGTTGCTTCCAGTGTAGGGGATTTCGGGCTTTTGCGCGGGACCATGCTCGAGTTTAGAAAGGGTTCCTAAGGCGTTCAGGATGTCCGGGGCAGTTACCTTCAGTTCGGTTAATTCAGCTCTTCCCCTCGCCCTCGACTCTGGGCTCCAAATCAAAATTTCTCATGCTGCCCCAGATTTGGAGTTCAGAGTGTTGAGATCTTGGAGGGTTAGGCTTGTGTTGGCAGTTTCGGGCATTGAGTTCAGCCTGGCAAGCCTGATCTGAGCCTCCGCAGTCGGGTTTCATGCCCCGGTTCAAAACCGCCCGTCCCAAGCCCGTCTCGCCCATTTCGGGAGCAATGCAACGATGTCGAACCCTTCCTGCTTTCGCTGTGTACTTGGAGCTTTCACTTGGAGTTTGTACGTTCGAACATCCAAAGAAGCCCCGAGCCAGGCATTGGCCAGTTGCCGTTGGAGCTGGGCGACGTCCTGGGCCACTACTGGCCGACAGAGGAGATTCAACAGTCTTGGGAGTGGTGCTTCGGTACTTCTCTCTCTTCGCGCTTACTTCGGTGGGCTTTTTAAGGGTTTGCAGGCGTTCACAAAGGCAAAGACGGGCACTTGAAGGCACCAAGCCCGTTGCTACGGCGTCTGACCAGAAGTCCAGAAGCGGACGAAGCTTGCGAGGGCGTAGTGACAATCGACGCAGCTCTGTAGCTCTGAGGAGGGCGTTCTAACAAGATAGTGAAACAAATGAGCACGGCGGCTGTTGCGTTGCTTTGCATTGCGGTTTCGCACTGTGTCGGGCTCTTCAGGAAGCAGCTCTTCCCAGAGTTAGTCGTGATCTCAGCTGCGCAAGCTACAGCTGCGAACACCCGAATCCCTGGAGCACAAGAAAGCCCTAGCAGTGCCTACGCAGCACCCCGCTCTTCCCCCTAACGGTCCTTCGAGAATTCCTTGTGAGGACCGGGTGGACGGCCGCTATCTGCCGTGGCAGCTGGCCGATTTGGGATCGAACGGCCAGGATGCGACCGGGCAGGGTTTGATGTCTCCTTCGCTACCTCGTAAATTTCCGTGGGGTGCTCTCGTTTTTGGTGGCTTGCACTGAGGCTCAAGCTCTTTCGTTATTGGTGGTGCTGTGCAAGATTGTAAAGTACCTGGGGATGTTTGTTCTGCTCGTGGTGATTTGCATTTCCTCGCACGTAAACTACCTGGTCCTTTCTTGTCGGTTCGGGCAGCTGCGAAACTGCGCGCATCGCCTAGGCTCGGTTTCCTACTTTGATGGCTTGCACTGCAAGTCTTCTCAGACTAAGGCGTGTTTGCTTCTGGTGCTCTACACAAAAGCACACGGCCACATTAGGAATTTTAGCTTTCGGCTGGTACCTCGTTTCCGCAACGTCGGTGCACACCAAAGCTTCAGCGAGCGGGTCATGCCCGGGCCCAGCTTCCACCAGTCGAGCCTTTTACATCAAGGGAATCAAGGATGTGCTTAGCAGATTCCGGACTGCCGGGCGACATCAAGGTTTTGGATGCGAGCGGAGAGTAGTCCGGATCGGGACGAAGTTGAAGCACAAACATAGCACCACCCAGAATCCCTTGAGACCTTCAAACCCTCCAAGCCTGAGCATGCCCACTTGGGTTAAGGATGGCTTCTGCCGAGGCGACCTCGATGTCGTTTGTGGGCAGACACTTGCTGAGTTTGTCCACCGTGGCACCCTGGCACGATCACCGAAAGGTCGGGGGGTGCGGGGCGAGGGGAAGGGGCCCAAGATCCCGATGCGCAACCACATCCCAAGCCTTACCCGCAACAAGCAACCGTAAGAAACCTTTGCCATCCTTTGCGAATCTTTGCGAATGACAACTAGGGTCGCCACCCCACGTCCTCTACGACAAAAAGCAAAAACACCAATGCCTTGGTGCAGGCAGTAGCTGTGATCTTGTTGAGCTGTCTTCTTCACATTTCAGCCTGCAAGCACTTGGATTTTTGGGTTTAGGATTGCAAGATTCTAGTTGCATTCCTGCTCGGCTTGAGGGTTCTGCTCCAGCCACCAGGTCATTATGCCATTAGAAGCGTTTCCCACTTACAGGATTTCTCATTCTCCCCCGGATTTAGGGTTCTGGTGTAGAGTGCTGGTTGTACTTGAAGGCTTGGGCTCCGTTTGCGGTTCGTTGGGCAGTGGCAATGACACAGTTAGCATGGGCATGCCTCCCACAGCAAAGGAACCATATTGCTCACGCGATAGTGCTGACAGTTAACACGGCTACCCTTATTTCGGGGCTTGGCTGCTCATGAGACCTCTTGCACCTATGAGCAGCATATGTGGCCACAGCCATGATGTAACAGCTGCAATACGAAAGGAACTCCGACTCGTCACAAAGCGCTTTTGCTGCAAGACAATGAAGCATGAACGTCGACAAGTGCGCAGCAACAGTCACAGCTGCCTGCAAGCCCAGGAGCATGTAGGCCATGACAACGAGGGCCTGGCACACGTGAGCCTGGGCGATATTTCACACACACATCGGCTTCAAAATCCCAAATCTTTTCCTGAAGCTGCCAAGATTGCCTAGAGTAGTCTTGAGCATGTAGAAAAGACCGAACACAGAACACGCACGGCTGCCCTCCATTCTGGGTCTTTTGTGGCTTTTCGGAGTTTGCATAAATCGCTGAGGAATGGCTTCCGTACCAACGGCACACGTGAGAGCCTTGAAGAGTGGGTGAGATCCTGGGACGAGGAGCCCTGCCCCTACAAGCGCCGCCAAACTCTACAAAACCAGCCAAAACTCTGCAACACTCCTGAATCCTCAGTCAGCGCCTCAACCTTCAGTGCGGAGCACACCGCAGGTTTCAGGGAGCGTCAAACGATTTCGGAACCCTTCCCCATTGCCTTCTAGAAGTTGAGGTCTCGATCTCCTGTGAGGTGGTTTTTAGGGTCTGGGCTTGAATTCAAGGTGTCTAAAATCGACAATGTGCAAGTCCTCAGCTCGACTGTAGCAAGAGGCGCCATCGCTGCTGAGGCAGATTGCGGCTGAAGCCGCAGAGTTCTTGGCTGCTTGCACGGAACTAAAGTTTACCTTCATCTAGGGATTTGGTGGCTTAAGGGGCTAGGGACCGCGGTTGTGGTGCCGACTCGACGACTCGAGGAGGAAAGATCGGTTTATCCGCAGCTAACTGTAGGTCTTGTTAGATGGGCTAAATCATTTCAGGGGGTTGTCCAGGGTGGGTCCTCGGGCAGGTCACTTTCCCCGTCGGCTTCAATGCCCGACTGGATGACGTGGTGGTCAGCTCACAGGAGCTGTGGCCGGTCACCAAGTGCGCATTTTTAAGCGAGAAGTGTTGGGGATGTGCTTCCCGGTGCTTCTTGGTGGTTGGAGTGCCGGATGTGGGGTGTGTTTAGGCACAGGCATCAGCCGCTTCAGCTTCGTTCCTGTCATCTCTGACTAAGCACTCAGCCCGGTTGCTCCTGCATCTTGTATTCGATTGCATAGACTTAAAGCTGGCGTGCCGGGTTTCCAAAAAATGCGCTCAAGCTGCTTCAAATCAAATCTTGCACCCCAAACCTCCCATCCAACCCCAAACCCTGCGCTCAACTTTCCGTACCTGGCACCGTGGATATTTAGTGTTCCGCAGCCTGGGCTGAAGCCCGCAACATATATTGTGCAAAGAGCCCTGGCTCCGGCTCTATTCAGTACGGCCGGTTAAATCCGATCCAATCCTTCTGGAAAGAACTTGGTTTTTGCACACAGGGTCCCCCGGATGAGGATGGCTTATGAGCGTGTTGAGCTCGGAGGAATCTCCCGGAAGCTCCAAAGCAGTACCGGCAATCAGCTGTCCAGGTTAGTCGCGTGCTTCGCCGCGTGAATGTGCAGAACCTGTGGGAGGAGGACTGCCGTTTCACGCATGCCGATGGAGACGCTTTCGTGGGCTAGTGGAGCATGGGGCTGCGTCGACAGTTTTCCACTTTCACCAACTGCTGAGAACTCTTTGCTTGCCTCTGCCTTCTGTTTCAAGCTTGCAGCCATTCGCTACAGCAGGAAGCGCTGCAGCCCTTAGACACAGTGTTTACAGTGGCTAAACCAAACCCTGCTTCCTCAACCCTTGGTTTTTCAACCCCTGTGGCGCCCAAGAAGGTTTGGTGATCCAGGTTTTTCCGTCGAAAGTTTAGGGTTAAACTCGGAACATAGGGTTTGTGGCAGGCAACCTGGGCAACGCAGAAACTCCACAGCCTAAACCCCCCATAGCCCGGTGTCAGGATCCCAAAAGGAGCTTTGCCTACCACTACGACCTCCAGGATGCATATCTGCCGGAGACCACAGGCATTTTTTTTTTTTTTGGGGGGGGGGGGGTGATTTGGGTGCCCCCTGGGTTGTGGGCTGTTCGCTCGGGAGTTTCGTGTTCAAGGGTTCAAAGGGTTCGGGGCGCGAGAGGACGGGGGGGTTTCCGGATGATTGGGAGGTGTCTTTGGTATGGGCTGCAAGTTGTTGAGTTCGGATAGGGGAAGGGTTGGCAAGGCATCAGCGTTCTGCGTGTTCAAGAGGGCTCTTCAAGCGCATGTGCCGCCCTGGCCTGCTGAAAGACCAAGGCGGAAGCTCCACCCAGGCATTCCACACTGAACCCGAAGCCTCATCAAGTTCCCTCAACCCCAGAATCCTGGACGCCTGGAGCTGCAACCCTTAAACCAAAGCTCATCCTCCACATCTTCCAGGCCTTATGCACCATCCCGCGCTGCCGGGCGTTTATCAGCAAGTTTATGGTTCGGCCATGCCTGCAAAGCTACAGCCGCCCTTCCATCCTAGATGCTTTGGCAGCAACTTTCCAGTATTTTCCAGTATTTTCCGGCTTGGTGTAGATCGGGGTGAATCTGCCTGCTCAAGTTTGAAGGGCGCGCGCGTGAAAACGCAGTAAAATGACATCTCGAGGCCACAGGCAGCGGCAAACCCTGAACCCGGAATCCTAGGCCCTGAAGTAAGCTATTGATGAACCTTCACGGTGCTGGTTTAAGCCCTCGTCGGGGATTCTGAAGTCCATTGCCCACCAGCTTTACACGCGAATCCTAACCCCCGGACCTATGACTGCCTAAACCCCTTCGGTGCAAAGCTGTTTTGTTCGTACTATGTAGAGGCCAGTGCGTGCCTTGCAGGATTTCGATTCGCCAACGCCGTGTGCGTCGTGACGAATGTTCCCGAGCTGCTGCGGTAGAAAATGCTCGCTCGGAGCCTTCCCTCCACCCCCCTTCCCAAAACCCTAAGACCCTAAGACCCTGAGACCCTCAAGCTCTAATGTTCACTTCCCATTACTCACCCCACCCCCTTGATTGATTCAGTCTCTCTGACAGGGCCGGAGAATCTGGTTGTAGGGGGTCCGGGTTTGGACTTTAAAGTGGCTGAAGTCTCATTTTTCGGGGCCCATTCTTAAAAGGGCTGGCCTCTTCAAAGGACACCCTCAAACCAAATCCCTTTCCTCTTTTTTTGTTTATTTTTTTCATTGAAGGGGTTGATGACTGAGTTCCGCAAGTTTTTCTCTTGCGGGAGGTTTAGAAATGCCAAGTCAACTAACCCTCAAAAGCCCGAAGCCCACCGGGCCTCAACCCAGGGCCCTTAAAGCTTCTTCCCCTACAGCCTGGCCCCAGGGCCCACTCTGCAGGGTTGCCAGGGTTGGGCGAACTCGTCGATCGCCACCTGTTTGAGATTCTCAGCCCGTTACCTTACGCATGCAGGGTTTTGCAACTGCGAAGCGCATGTAAGAGAACAGGCCAAGGGGCCAAAAGAAACAAAGTAGGAAAGTAGGAATGGAAGCAGAACAGCACAGCCCAGCGTCGTCGCGGGCAGGGCGGCAACTGGTTCGCCAAGCGTGTCGTTGATCTGGCCAGTCTGGCTCCTTGAAGGTTGTAAGGGTGGTTCTCTGGTTGTGGACGAAACAGGCCTTCTGGATGTAGGTTTCAGGGCTTCAAAGATGGCGCAGGGCTGAGAGATTCTGAAGCCCTGTAAGCCAAAGCTGGGAAGTTTGGCTCATCGAAGTTCACCAAATCTCCATAAAAGTCCTTGCGAACCCCCCCCAAACCTCTAAACTAACGTAACCACCCCACCCCTCCCCCTCACCCATCCTGAACCCCTCAACTCCCGAGCTCAATCTCTCTTGAGCTTCTAAGCAACTTTTCCCAAACCGTTAAACCTTCTTAACCCCTGCTCCTCCTTGCCAGGAGCGGCAGACCAGCGAGTTCAACATGGAGTGGCAGTCGGTGGAGGCGTCCTGAGAGAACCAAAGGCTGAGAAGGCTTTGGAAGGCTTTTTAGAAGGCGTTAGATTCGAAGGCTTTAGAGGGCTTAGAGGTTAGACATCGTGCCGTTTCCGGGTTCTGGTGCTGAAGGACGCCAAGACCCTAAGCCCTTCCCCTGGCGGCCCATATCTGCTGAGGATTCCCGGGCTTCCACCACAAAGCCCCCAAAGCAAAGCCGGCTTTTCCCTTCGGGACCGCTGGAGGTTCGGGTCACAGAGCTTGTCGACATCGTCAGCTCTGCCTTGGAGGACCCTAAACCACAAAAAGGCATTGAAGCCTCGGAAACCACTCAACCACCAGACGCGAAACCTCAGCCCTGCTGCTGAGACTTTAAATGTCACATCCCGGTTCCATACCCCACCACAAAAGGGTCCCAACTGGTTCACTGGACACAAGGTCTGGAAGGGTAGGAGTACAACATCAGGCCCCATTCCGTGACCAAAACAGATTCGGGCCATGCCTCCGCAGCCTCCCCAAGGCTTCGCCCCCGAAGGGGTCGGGAAATTGTGGGAGTTGTGGGAGATCCGAGGCCGACCTGCTGAAGTTAAACGCGGGGTGGGAAGATAAGGATGAGACGCCGAACTTGTTCTTGCAAGGTCTGCAACTTGCCATCCATGTGCATCTTTATGGGAGACACATTCCAGGCACCGAAGGTTCGATTTCGACAACGTTAAGCAGAAACCCTGTTCGAACATCAAGAATCACACAAAGCTTTGTCTTATGTCCTAAGCCGTAAACCCGAATCTTCTGCAGGACCAGCACAGCTGATCGGAAGCGAATGCGCCGAAATGACAATTGAGGAGAGCTGTCTCTTCTTCTGAAGCTGAAGACGCGCTGAACCTCAACAACCCTGGAAACCTCTAATCCTAAGCTGCGTATCTTGCAGCCACCTCTCTAGACTGTGAACTGCTTGTACGTGGTGGGTTGAAGTCGGTTGCAGTGTGGATTCGAGATCTTAAGGTACGCCTTAGGTAACCGGCTCTTCAGCGCAGGAGCCTGGAAAACACTGACAACTCCATGCCGAACCAACCCCAACGCCCCCCTCGTGTTTTCTGAAGAGAGACAGCCCTCGGACTTCCCTTTGAGGAATTCTGGCTCGCATATGCCCATAGATCAGCTTCTTTTGGGGTGAGGGCTTTCGCGCAACGTTTCCTGCACAGAGCATGCCGAGCATGCTTGAACTTGAAGGCTGCTTAATATGCTTCTAATTCCGAAAGGGTATGGGGGTTTCGCGGCATTGCAAGGTTTGGTGCCCGTGTCTGGCCGCTTTGAGGGTCGCAGGGGTTTGAAGGTTTGTTTGTTTGTTTGTTGGTTTGTTTGTTTGTTTGTTTGTTTGTTTGTTTGTTTGTGTTTGTTTGTTTGTTTGTTTGTTTGTTTGTTTGTTTGTTTGTTTGTTTGTGTGTTTGTTTGCTTGTCTTGACTTGATGGGGCAGCTGGGGTCTTTTTTCTGGTATGTAGTGTGTAAGTTTGAAAGTGAAGAGAGCAATCCCAAAGCCTGAACTGTCGCTCGGTTCAGATAGGTGCTCAATCTGGCCGACCATGGCACCAGCCCGTAGACCTCGAGACGCCTTACTGAGCCCCAGAGATCCTCAGCCCTAGAACAACCATCGGAACCTCTCAGCCATTTATTGTGGACATGTAGGGTTGACGGTTTCTTGCGCGATCTGAGGAAGTGTTCCGACTCCCTCCCTTGTTAGCATAGCCCATCCTACCAATAGCTTGCTAGAGTTCTCGGGCAGCGGATGTGAGGACCTGCAACGTTGCAACGTCCACTCTTGCAGGGCCAGTTGAGGCGCCCCGAACCCTCAAACCCAACTTCAAACTCTCTAAGGACCCTCAAAACGCTGAAACCCGCAAAGTGTGAAACCACCTACGGAGAGCGAAGCTTCCAAGCCCCAAATGGCCCTTAGCCGCCTGCACTAGGCGACTGCCCTAGGCATGTTAATGAACACGTGCGCAGGATTGCAAAGGCTGCCTCCGATCTGCTTTGGGTGTCCGTTACAAGCAAAACCCAAGAGTGCGAAGCCTTTTACCGGACAGTGCACAGCAATAAGATCGCGGGCAGACGTGGCAGTCCTAACTCGCAACGGGTGTCTCATTATATCGGGCACCTGGAAAACTTTATTTGGGTTTCTTGGGTCAAGCGTCAGCGATCAGATGTGAAGAAGCCCCGTAACTCCCCTTGCGAAGGAGATTGTGCCACACTGACTTCTGTTCTGGTCTTGGCCTAGTCCCTGTGGTTCCCGGATCGGTGCCCCATACCCCATGTCTCCAGTGCTGCAAGTTGACACGAGGCCACCACCTTTGTAAGCTTTGAGAAAGCCCAGACCGTAGCACTCCCAAACCTTACTTCCAAAATCATGAGCAGATGGAAGGTTCAGTATGAGTCCTCGGCCCCTCAGCCTGTGGAGTTCGCACATTCCGCCATGCACGGCCTGCTCGCGCGGATGCTCGCAGCTCGTTACGTCGCTGAAACTCAGCCTCAAACAAAGATCCGGCCATCATATGCCTCTCCGAAACGAGCAAAGCCCGAACCTCCATGGAGAGCCCCTTCCAAGTCCCTCCCAAAGCGCTCGCGGTGACGACATGACAGCCTCCTTGGATGAGCTGAAGCAGGCGCTGGCTTCTTCTCAGGTCGAGGGTCGACAGTGTTCTCTTGACGAAGTTGTTGCCCTGCTCAGGCACAGGGTCTGCTTGGTTTGCTAGTCCAGAGTCTGTTTTTTCTTCGGGTTGGGTACCTACGGCATTATCTGGCCTGCCTCCGACACCAATGGTAGCAGAGCGACCCTGAATTTCTGAGTTCTTCGCCAGCGCTTTCGAGCCAGCAGGCATTGATAGAAACCCTGGAGTCGCGCGGCGTCCTTGGCCAGGCGCGGCCCAAGCCTGGGCTTAAGCCTTACAAGGTTTCGGGGGCAGTCTCACAAAGGTGCACCGGAGCCGGTGGTTTGCATGGGAGTCGCAAGCTTTTCCAGAGTTGCTGCGGAATGCATCAATGCTTTCAACCTCGAAAGTAGCGTCTGCTTGTGCTGATGTGCCCTGCCCCGTGCAGAGACTCGTATGTCTTGGGTTTAGGATATCAGGGTGTCAGGGATGGGCTTTCTTGGAAGTTGACTGGGACTAGAATCAGGATCTCAGGACTGGCTGCCTGCACGCAGCAAGAGGGGCCGTCCAAGGAACAAGACGCAAAGAAGATTGGCCGCAACCCAGACACGGATTCTGGAAAAGAACAGTCTGGTCTCCGGTGGGCGGGGGATGGTGGATGGGGGGAGGGACAAAGACAAATGAAAAACATTTTACTTTCAGAAAAGACTGTTGAAAACCCGAATGTCCCCTTGTAATGGCTTTAAAACCTCTTGAACAGACACGTGTCTTAGGTCCTTCAGCAAGACTCCGAAAGGAGACAGTGCCTTTAAGAGAAACTGTTCAAAACTTACTCGCAGGGTCCGGAATTGTGACATTTTCGGAAAATTACAACCCCTGGCCCAATCCCGAAACCCAAAACCCTGATCATCTGAAGCCCCAAGGTCTGAAGCCCAGAGTCCCAAACCCGGGTAGCAAGGAGTTCCCTGCAGGTGAAGGCCAAAGTCCGTGCAGAGATCTTCGCCGCCCTGGATGACGAGCAGGCAAGCCATGCTTACGCAAACCCTCCGCCGAAACCTTCAACAGAAAGAGTTGTAAGCTGTAAACCCCCAACGCCGGGAGACCACAGGCCCTACTAGCAAAAGGCCCTGACTCTCTCAAGCCCGACACAATATCCGAACTTGTAAAGCTCCACAAACCTCCAGGTTTTCAGCCCTTCCCAGCCCTTCAGCCAACCCTTTCAGCCAAGCTCTCGCAGCTGTGGTTCGATGACTTTGGGAGGAGGGTTCGGTACAGCCCCCCCGAAGCACGCATATGTGGGAGCCCAGATTGAAACCCACTTACAGGAGCCAAGAATATCATGAAGGCTTGGAGCTTTAGTCCAGTGTAGGGACCGCAGGGCTCTAGGATTCACATGGAAAAGATGCAGTGCGTTGGTTAAGCTTTTTCCCATGACGCTCCGTGACTGACCACGCTCTGTTTAAAGCATTTGGCCGCCAGAATTGTTTATGCGAATACCTGAAGCAATGAGGTGACGTTGAAGAAGGAAATGCACTGTCGGTATTTTGGACGGACAAAGGGCCATTTATGGTGACAGAAGAAGCCCAACGAGTCAAGCTGAAACACTTCGGGTGCTCGGAGCCCAGTTAGCCCACGCTGTATGGAAGCTCGTCAAGTCATTCAAAGCTCTAAGAGGTGCAACGTCCACAGCTGCCGCGTGAGAATGCCTTGATCAACGAGCTCATCAAAGAGTACTTCGAGTACAACGGGTGACCCCCCCAGCAGCGAATCCCAGCCCAAGACCGTTTGGGGGCTGCGCTCTTGGGGCTTACCTTGAGGCTTTGGGTTCTTCTAGGGTTTTGGACCATTCGAAGCCTCTAAAACTTGACTAATGAAGCGGGTCACATGGCGTTTGTTTGTGCTGCGGACCGTGGCAGGAGGTAGCAAGTGCGGCATCTTTGTGAACGTCAGGTTGGGATGTTTTTCAGGAGCTAATCATGGCAGAACGAGCGTCAAAGAAGACGGAATTCCAAATCTCGACAGTGTGCAACTCTGCACGATGTTCGTAATCGGGGCATGCTTTCAGCAGCCGGTCACGGGCTTGAGGCTTCGGCTTCAGGTTTTGGGTTTCGGGTTGAGGGAGAGAGCACACCTCATACTGCTTGCGTTGCATGGCTGAGAAGGTCTGCCCAAGTGCCCAAGAAAACAAAACGCAACAGCCAACGGCAGAGTGCCTGCTAAGCAACGGATTTCACATTGACGTTTTAAGCATTTCGTTCTTTTGAGAGAAGAAAGTGAATTTCCCCTCTTCAGCCCGTGTCCAGTTACTACCACGCGCTGTCTGTGCTGCTGGCCGAGAGCGGCCACCCTGAGGAGCCGCAGAGTTAAGAAGAGCCAAGGGCTAATGCGGCTAAGGATCTCAGATTCATGTGCGGATGGGTTTTAGGCAAAGCCCCCATCAAAGCCTGTCGAGCTGTAGAGAGCCCAGCTCAAAAAGCGTTGCTCAAGGCAAATCCCCGCAAAGAGGTCTTCAAAAGCATAGCCGCAGGAGCCGCAGTTTGATCGGCGATTCCTGGCCACAGAGCACGGTCCTTGTGGTTCAAGGGCTTTTCGGGTCTGGGGGGGTTTGTCAAATGATTGTTGGGGTTTTTACAGAGCTTTGCGGATATTGTGCTGGGTTTCGTAAGCGAGAAGCAGGTTTCGTCGAAGGAGCTTCAGACGTACATTGTAGAATTCTTGTGGTTGGTTTTGTTGCGCACGCTACTCTGTGCATAAGAAGTATGCATCTTGATATCATAGTGAAGTGTAATCGCCTTTGTAAGCCATGTAAGCCCTAAGCCGAGACGCTTGACGAAGATGTGTGCGCCCCAACAAAGCTGATGCCCCTCATTCTGGCGTTTGAACCCCAAAGCCAGGTCGGCCAAAGTGAGAAGCTCTCTAAAACTCCACAGCTGCAGCTGCATCTCTGGGCCACGCCGCTCGAAGGCTTCGCCTTCGCGAGGACGATCGCAGCAGGCGACACCAGAGCTTCGGCTGTGAGTGGTTTTACACTTCTCTCTGAAAGGCTCCAGAAAAGGCTATCAGATCTATCAGCTCGCAGGTCCCACCCGCTGATTTATGCGCTCGTCCGCGGTGGTGCAGATGCTGGCTCGGGGCCGGCACACGAGGCTCAGCACGTTCTGGGCGTCCGTGGGAACTCAGAGCCCTGAAAAGCCAACCGGATCTTCCATGCTTGTCGCTTCGGATGCGTTTTGGCTTTTCCCCCAAGCCGCATTTTCGCATGCAAAGGTCGTGCAACCACTCCTGTCCAAGACCTGAAGTAGAGATCCTGAGATCTCCACACCTAAGCGCCAAAACCACCAGTCCGCTACAGAGGTACAGGTATGGTTCTTCATGGCCTGTGGCATGGTCATAGTAAGCAGTTTTAACTTCATTTACTCACCAAGCGTAGAATCTAGAACCTCCATGCTGTCTATACCGACTCCGTTAGATTAGTTGTTAACGGAAAGTTATTCGTGTGCTTTTTGGCCTAACTATGCTTTCGACCTGCGCCAGGAGCATACAGGCCCGGTGCCCCAGCAGGTGGACAGCCCCAAGACAGCAGGCTCCATCGGGACTTTTCAAGGAAGGGCAAATCTTGAGCTTCTGAGCTTCAAGCCGGTTTCTAACATCTTCAAAGTCTCAGGTTTGGGCCCAAGGCCCAAGTCTCACCTAGCTTTTGCTTCCCTGCTACTCGTGAGTAGTGGCGCGTGTTTGCCAAGACCCTAGGCTTGAACTTCAGATCAGGAAGGCTGCGGCTTAAGTTCGCACTCCTGGCCCTCCCTGAGCTGTGCCTACTTGAAGCCCACCACAAGCCTGACAGCACGTGTGAATCATGCTAGGGTTAGTAGACATAGTAATGAATGATTCTGTTGTCGAAGCGTGCATCGAACCTCAAATCGTCAACGTCTGAGGTGTGCACCTCCTGGCACCGGGTTCTTCCGCCGAACGCTAAGGGGTGCCAACAGTGCGGGGTTGAAGGGTTAGGGTTCGTGAATACTTGCTTGCATTGCTACTGGGACTTTAGGGAAGTGAGGGCGGACAAAAGCAAAGCGAAAGCGAACGCCAACGCCAACACATAAGCAAAGCCACAGCGGCAGCGAGAGCGACGGCGAACGCGCAAGCAAATGCATCGAAGTGGAAGCCGTCCCAAATTCAAATTCCTCGACCCCAAAGCCTCAAACTTGTGACTTCAAGCTCGAAACTTTGTCCCCTTTCACCCCAAAGCCGCCCCCCTCCCGGCTCTCCTGCATCCAATGTACGCCTTTCATAGAGATTGGCAATTGAGGAACCTTTGCCGCCTGTTGGAATGCAGCTTCAACCCTAGACTCACAGCTGCCGGATCTTTGATCTAAGGCACTTGATGTAACCCCACCGCCACCCGACGAAGAGGCTTTGGCGTGGCGCACTTCCGATGCTGGGAATTCAGCAGTGGTTCTTGATTCCCTTTCAACTGATTGCAGGGAAGGTTGACGTGTTCAGGCCAGATCAGGACACCACAGGGAAGCCCAAACAAAACCGGAGAACCGGAGCTTTCCATGTGCGAAGAGACTTTGCAATAGGACCACAGGGGTTCGGTAGCTTGGGTTGCGAGGCCTGAACCCTTATTCGGTCGTTTGCACAGGCTGAGTCATTACGGGCTCCATGCGGATCCCAAGCAGAGTTCAAGACCTAGAACCAAGCCGCCTTGCGCAGGGTGACCAAGAGAGGCCGCTGTTCATCCGTGGGGCCAGTCGTTGAGGAGCCGAGGGTGCTTCTCAAACCCCCAATCACTGAATCAGAGCCCCGCGCCTTACATTGTTTTAAAAGAAATTCTGAACCGCATAGCCTTACATCCTGGACCCTCAACTCCAGGAGTTTGAAGCCCAAGTCCTAGAAAGCACCCTGAAACATGGCAAGCATAAGCCAGATCCCCCGAACGGTAGGCCCTCGGTTTCTTGATGAGTTCCGAAAGTGTGGCAAGGCATGGATTAGGGTTGTGGGTTTGACTGAGCAGCCGAATCTCTGAAGTTTTCTCAGACGAAGGATCCACGAGTCTTGCGCTTGTCTCGACGGGCTGTCGGAAGCTAAAGCGCCTCAAAGCCTCTAAGCCGACTCCGCGGGCCTTGTGCCAGTTCACTGCCAGGACCCTTCCAGAAGTGAAAGTCTGCAACGCTGGGGGAGGGAAGGCAAGAGAGCACTGAACCTACCCCCAATATCCCCCAATCCTCATCCAAAAAACCCCGAACGGGTTCAGGGTTTGCCTCAACAGGCCTTCTCCGTGACATGGCGGGTCCGTTGGGAGCGAGTTTAGCTCCAGGCATGTTGCAAAGATGGGTGCTTACCGCGGCATGCGACGCAAAAAGGCGCCTTGGGGCTAGGCCTTGTCGTTCCATCAGAAAGCTGGGCTAACTGGGGCTGGAAGACCGTTCTCCTGCTTTTTTCTCACGATGTTGTTGTCGCAGCGGAGATCAGCAGAAGGGAGCGCTGAGAACTGCAGGCAAGGACAGCTGCACATCTGGCCAGCTTGCTAGCCTCGACCCAGAGACGACAGCAGGACCTTTACACTACACACGTGCTATCAGCTGTCAGCATTTGGCAAGTACCAACATCAACAAAAGTGAAGCCCGCTCTGCCAACACGCCATCGTTACCTCCAAAGACTTGAAAGCCATGCAAAGCCCAAGCAAAGCCCAAGCTCTGTCTCCCGATGCTGTGGCCACGAGCCTTGACACAGAGCCCATGGGCAGCTCGCCCACTCTGCCAAGGCCAGCAAGCCGCACCTAAAACTTTGAAGCCTTTTGGAAGCTGATCGAGTTGAGTGATGTTGAGTGGTGTTGAGTTTATCACGACTAGGACACGTCCTTTTGCAGCCTATGTTGTAACGTTCCCTTTCAAACTCCGCATCGCTCCGGAAAGTCGAAGCCCTTCTGTGCAACCCGAACGCATGAGGCCTTGAATCCTTGAACTCCTCGAAGCCCCACAAAACCTAAAACCACCGCAAGCTCTCCGTGCTCAAGCTCTGCCCCTCCAAACCTGTCCAGGCCAGCGCCGGAGCCGTGGCCAGAGTGGCCTGAATGGCCTGACACAGGTCCTGTCCGCTGTACGTCCCGAGGCGTGGGGTTCCACAGATTTGTAGCGGAGCGTCACCTACATCCTAACCTCAGAAAGCCCCCAAAAGTCATGAAAGCACAAATCAACACTAAGTCAGAACATCTTGGAGTTTTCAAACTTCGAACTCTCAAAGTTCCTCGCAACCGGAAATCGGAAAGCCCCTACCCCTTCCCAAATACCGCAAGTATGTAACTGTTGCATGGCAGGTGGGCCGCATCCTCGAATCTGCACTCGGTGGCTGGGATTCGAGAAGGGGGGTCAGGGGTGGGGCGGAGGGTTCTGCGAAGTTGTAGGACTTCGCACGTGAGAGCTTCAGGGTGGGTCCTCGCCCCGCCCGCTTTCGAAAGTTTGGGCCAGGCTTAGGCCGGGTTAATTCAGGGCCTCGCACGCACGTGGCGTTTTGCGAGCTCTGCTTCAGCTCAAGGATTCGGGAGTGAGTGGCTTAGGGCTGGAACTTAGGAGTTTTGGCTTTCGTGGGTTCAGGGTTTAGGGACTCTCGTCACGAGAAGAATAGCCAAGCTTTGCTTCAACGTTATAATGTTGACGAGGGTTCCACTTGTGAAATCTATAACGAGCTCCTCACATTCAATTCCTGATATCCTTAAGTCTTTCATCCTTGTTACTTGAAACAGAAAGCTTCCTCATGTGGTTGAGGAATGCGGGCTGTCCTCTTCTTTATGTTCTGGGTGTTCTTTATTCGCGATCTGTCTCTTTCTCCCTTTCTCCTCACTCACTGACTCACTCACTCAGTCGCTAACTCTCTCAACTCACTCTTTCACTCACCCCCCTTTTTTACGAAATGGGTGCCCTTTCAAAGTTTCATCCGAGGTGTACTTGGGTTTTGTTGGCCCAAAGCTCGAGCCTCTAAAAGCTCAAGTTTTAGGTGTGGATTTGTGAGACGTGGCATGACTCGCTGGAGTGCTGAAAGTTCACACAGCTGCCATCCCAAGAATCAGCCAATCTCCTCGAAGGGGAGGGGCGAGGGGGTAGGTCCCAGAGGCGCCTAAACCCTTTAAACCTTCGAGACTTGAAGGCCTTCAATAGCCCTCCGCGCTGCAAGCCCAGATCTCGGTTACCCCAAAACAGCGCAACTTGGTTCGATGAAAAAGCCGCAATATCAATACAAACCATAGCAGCAAGAACAGAAAGTGTAGTGACAATAGCACTTATGGAAATTAGCAAATATAAATGGAAGCAATGTATGATTATATTTAACTTGTAGCTGTAAAAAGTAGAATCACAAGCTCTAATCCCAAGCCGCTGAACTCCTGAAACGTAAGCAAGCAGTGCGACTCCAACTGCCCAAAAAGGCGCCCAAAGAAGGCAAAGCCCGAGAAGACCCAAAAGCAGTGAAACTTCGAGCAATATCCCCGAGCCTCAGTAGAGTACTCTACAGTAGAGTACTCTACAGTAGAGTACTCAGTAGAGTACTCAGTAGAGTACTCAGTAGAGTACTCAGTAGAGGACTCAGTAGAGTACTCAGCAGAGTACTCAGTGGAATACTACTCAGCAGAGTACTACTCAGTAGAGTACTCAGTAGAGTACTCAGCAGAGTACGCAGTAGAGCTGCAGCGCAAGTCTCTCGCGTCTGAGGAGCAAACGGGGCCGACGTAAACACTACTTCACATCTTCTGTGCTGCAGAAAACTTGGTGAGGCTTGACAAATCGCAACCAGGCAATCGAAAGCGGTGCGGCTGCGTAGCTACGCACGTTCTGTGCACGTGGGAGGGAACGAGAGAATCGGAATCCCGGAAGGCATGAAGTCAAAGACCCCAACAGGGATTCCAGCTTCACCCAAGCAAGCTCGAGGCAACCATGAGATTAGCGCAACGGATGCCGAGGTCCTGTTCAGGACTGCGAAGAAGGTTCAGGGTCATGGGCCCCATGGGCTTTGGGTCGTCTCTAGGGGTTTTTAGGATTTGTGTGATTTTTTGAGGGGTCAGGGGGTCAGGGGGCTCCAAGGGTTTGGGATGGTTCGGGCTTGCACGGCTGAGCAGAGTTCGGTGTTCGAGGATCTCCGGGTCCAGGAGCACTGGGCATCCGAAGCCCGTAGCGTTCCCAATCTCCCCTCGTCACTACGACCCTACGGAGTCACCTACCGAAGGGTTCAGTCTCAATGGTGAAAGTATGGACACGGGAGGTAGCAGAGCGGGAAACACCCACACGGAAACTGTCGATTGAGACAAGGACCACCGGCGCCGAACTCCCGGCTTTGGCGCGCGTGGCAGACGAGCTCCGTGCCCAAACAGTGGGTGGCGAAGTCACGTGCCTTGGCTATGTAAGTCGATATGGAAGTCAAATGGAACCCGAGCCGTATGGAGAGAAGGGTATTTCTGATGCCCTGAAGAGTATTCGAGGGCTCCCTAGGCACCTCCGATAATGCCTGGGCTCACCTAAGAGATGTGCACACACGGTTTGCACACTCTACACGGGACTCTGGGACTCTGGCACTCTGGGACTCTGGGACTCTGGAACTCTGGGACTCTGGGACTCTGGGACTCTGGGATTCCGGGTCTTGGTTGTTGTGGTAGCTTTCTGCAGAATCGATGTGGACGCTGTTCTGGATGTTGTTGCCATTCTGTCCAGAGGAGCTCCATGACAAACCCCAAATCCTAAAGTCCACACCGTACGTCCTAAACCTCAGGGGACTCCAATGTTCTTGTGTGTTGAGAAAAGCTGCGAGCTCAGTAATGGAAGGTATGTCCGGAACCGAAACATCAACTTCACGATGCTCGGCAGACAAGGTAGGTGTGAGGACCCCCCGGGTGTTGGAGGTTGGTTGATTCCTCAAAGCCTCAGCAGCCTCAGTAGCCTCAAACCCTCGGACTCAAAACCAAACCCTTGCTCTTTCAGGAATGTGTGCGTGAAGCGGTGCGGGTTCTGCGCCTTCAGCCGCACTGGCATTGACCATGAAGGCTACTTCCTGCCAGTAGACGAGATCTTGCGCCGAGCAGGCTGGGAGCGGCGCTGGTGGGCTTTGGACTCACACATTCAGACAGCACAACCTTGAAACAACCTCAAAAAGAAGGGCTTAGTGGAACACAAACTTGGACATTCTGTCGTCCCTGGACTCCAAAGGCTTGGGGCGCTTTGTATCGGACTTGGTCGAGCTCGGGGGAGGGCTACAAACAGTCCTTCGGTCCCCAAAGGTAAAGATCGCTTGGAAATAGAATCCATGCTTGAGACTCTGCACTTCGGATCCCCTCCGAACACCCTCTGCAAGTCTCAGAACCCTCAATGACTCTAAAGCATCCTGGTTGAAGGCGAGGCGCATGCACTGGGAGCGACCGAAGTCTGCATCCAGGCTGGCCTTCCACCGGACATGGATGGGTCGCTGAGCTGACGCAGCAAGTTTTCGAAGACGTTGGGGAAACTCACCAGCAGCAGGTGCTCATAGCTAGAAGTCAGGTTTTGTGGGTTGCAGATATCTGTTGTAACAGTCTCCGCTCGAGGTCTTTGTACCCGACCATTGCGCGGGCCCTCAAGTCGGAGTATCCCTCGCTGCACATCCACGCCTTCTCCCCCGAGGAGGTCTTGTGGGGGGCAAAGCGGTCCAGGTGCTCCGTGGAGGAGTCGCCCTGCAATTTCGCGCAACAATGTTTGCTGAGACCGCGCAGTACGGAGTATGTCGCAAGTCTCTTGAGCCCATCCGTCTCATCCATCTTGAAGGAGTATCTACTGCGGCTGCAAGAAGCTGGCGTCGGCAGCCTGCCAGGTACCAGCGCCGAGATACTGGATGCTTTCCTGTTAGAGAAGTAGTTTCGGGCCCTGGCTTTGGTGGAGGGTCCCCAATGTCCCCACCCTGTACATCTGTATCTGCTTGCTGGGCTTGCCAAGAGCACTCCAAGGATGACGCCCTCCGTCAGCAGGTCGCCAAAGGGCGGCTGTCCGTGTCGCAGTGGGTCGAGGCAGGGCCGGGTTTAGAGTGGGGCGGCTTGGGAATCTTGGGATGAGGTCTTTGGAGTTTCGGATTCAAAGAAGTAGAGGTTTTGGGGTGGTGCGTGTGCAGTGGAAGGGGTGCACAATGCAGGTATCTTAGGTTATTCTGAACGCCCAGGTGATCTCCACTGCCCACCGGCTTGGCTTACCGACCACGGCCACGATGAGTCTTGCTTGATGTTGCATTTCCTGGCGCTGCCTAGCAACTTCTGTCAGACAGCTGTTCGCTGGGGACCTGCTCAGCAGTGGCAAGCCTTGAGAATGATTCGGTTTTGCAGGTCACGCCCAGTCTTCAAGAGAAGTAAAATCTCACCCGCGGCCACCTGACACGTATTTTCTTCTCAGAGTATTCTAAGACCCCTCATTGAGCCGAACGCACTGGACACACTGGAAGATTGAATGATCGAAAGGCTTTGACATCTCTGAAGCCCAAATTTTTTCAGTGCGCCGGCACACACTGCTCAACACCTGTCACGTAATTACGGTAACACTCCAAAATCCCCTCAGCCCTAAGAACTGGAGGATGTTCGGCTTCTGCGAGACACCGAAGCAGCTGGCTAGTCACTTTGTCCTTCTCCGGGACATTCAGAAGCGTGCGCAGGCCTTTGGGACTCAAGAAACAGGGTTTCTAAACGTGTTTCTCTGGCTGGCAGCGTTCTTGCGATCCACGCAGCAAGATGCGCAAAGAGACTCGTGCGTGAGTGCGCGGCCTCATTCATTCGTTCCTGGATTTGCAGACAAACCCCTTTTCAGCATCCATTGCTACCGCAACATCTGCATCGGTGACAGTTGACAGCAGCATCCGTGCCGTCCAAGTGAGAGCATTCATGTTGGCGACCTGCTTTTTTGTCGCTTCCAGGGTCACGTAAAACAGTCCTGCCTGTGCACGGATTCACCTGACATTTGCAGATTCGCGCACTTCCACGTGCGGATTTGCCGATTTGCATGAGTTTTTGGATGGGTGCACGCGTGACTTCGCGAGCAACAATCCGTGGATTGCATCAACACTCTACAGGGCCTTTCAGGGTTTGTGCCAGAGCGTCTGCATTTGTAAATTAGAGGGTTCTGGCAGGTTTCAGGGTTTTGGGGCTGCGGGGTCAGGGTGTTGGCTGCTAGGCAATTGATCGGACCTTCGTTTTTGTTTGTTTGTTCTTTTGTTTTGTTCTTTTGTCTTGTTCGTTTGTTCGTTTTCTTTTTCGCGTGTCAGCAAGAAACACGGGGTTTGATGGACCTGAAAACAGGAAACAGGAAGCGACACAGTCCATCCTTGAGTCCCTGAGGCTGCTGGGCAGCGCGGCTTCACGGAGTTCGTACCCCTGGGCTTTGTGGCCTCCGAGGTTTGAGGGGGTTCCCCCCCTAAGCTGGGGGGTTTAAGACTTGGGAGTTGGGATATTAAGAGTCCTTACTAGGGTTTAGAGTAACCCCCCCCGCCCCCCTCCCCCCCTAGTACAATCCCTCAGAAGGATTGTTTTGTTTTTTTCGGGCGAACATCCCAACTTGGGAGTGCGCCATGAACCCTCCGAGCCCTTTGGAGGCACCCATCTGGAAAGCCTCCGAGTCCATCAGAGTGCGGCCCGGGCCCACTGGCGCTGAGGCATCCTGCGCATCTACCCCCCAAGGGCTCTTGACATCTTCGAAGCCTGGCAGTCCTAGAACCCAAGCTTCCCCTGCCCGCATGGGAGATGTGTTATGTAGCGAGGGACCAGGGTTCGAAATAGCTTTGCCCCATAGAAGGCTTTCGGGTTTCTGAATTTCATTCGGGGTTTTTTGGGTTTCTAAGAAGGGTGAGGGTTTTCTGGCGTCAGAGATTCGGAGTCCCGGGCTGTTGCGGATGCACCAGAGGGTCACAGGGGCTCTTGGGAGCTCACAGCGCCCAAAAGGCCCTGAGCTCCGCAATCCCCACCCCGACTTTTTGATCTTCATCATCGTTAAAGCCCTCGACTACAAAATCCTCAAGTCTAAATTTCTGGGCGCAGGTGCTGCGTGCGCACGCTGTTGCCCGGCTGATGCTGAATCCTGCGCTCCCGGGGGGTGTGCGAAACTTGCAGGCAGGGTTTGGCTGCAGCAGCAAACAGCAGCAGCTGCCGTTGCTACTGTTGCCAAGTCCCCTGTTGCTGCTGCTGCTGCTGTTGTTGTTATTGTTGTTCTTCATCCTCTTCTTCTTCTTCTTCTTCTCTTAGTGTATGTGTGTTTGTGTGTGTGTGTGTGTGTGTGTGTGTGTGTGTGTGTGTGTGTGTGTGTGTGTGTGTGTGTGTGTGTGTGTGTGTGTGTGTGTGTGTGTGTGTGTGTGTGTGTGTGTGTGTGTCTGTGTGTGTGATGTGTGTGTGTGTCTGTGTGTGTGTTGTGTGTGTGTGTGTGTGTGTGTTGTGTCTGTGTGTGTGTTGTTTGTGTGTGTGTGTGTGTGTGTGTGTGTCTGTGTGTGTGTGTGTGTGTCTGTGTGTGTTTGTGTGTGTGTGTGTGTCTGTGTGTGTGTGTGTGTGTGTCTGTGTCTGTGTGTGTCTCTGTGTGTCTTGTCTGTGTGTCTGTCTGTGTGTGTGTGTGTCTGTGTGTCTGTGTGTCTGTGTGTCTGTGTCTGCGTGTCTGTGTCTGCTGTCTGTGTCTCTGTGTCTGTCTCTGTGTGTCTCTGTGTGTCTCTGTGTGTCTGTGTGTCTCTGTGTCTCTGTGTCTCTGTGTCTCTGTGTGTCTGTGTGTGTCTCTGTGTGTGTCTCTGTGTGTGTTGTGTTTTGTGTGTGTTGGTGTGTTTGTGTCTGTGTGGTGTGGTTGTGTGTTTGTGGTGTGTGTGTGTGTGTGTCTGTCGGTGTGTGTGGTGTGTGGTGTCTGTGTCTGGTGTGTCTGTCTGTGTTGTGTTGTGTGTGGTCTGGGTGTGGGTGTCTGTGTGTGTTGGTGTGTTGGTGTGTTGATGTGTGTTGATGTGTGTTGATGTGTGTTGGTGTGTGTTGGTGTGTGTTGGTGGGTGTTGGTGTGTGTTGGTGTGTGTTGGTGTGTGTTGGTGTGTGTTGGTGTGTGTTGGTGTGTGTTGGTGTGTGTTGGTGTGTGTTGGTGTGTGTTTGGTGTGTGTTGGTGTGTGTTGGTGTGTGTTGGTGTGTGTTGGTGTGTGTTGGTGTGTGTTGGTGTGTGTTGGTGTGTGTCTGTGTGTGTGTGTGTGTCTGTGTGTGTCTGTGTGTGTCTGTGTGTGTCTGTGTGTGTCTGTGTGTGTCTGTGTCTGTCTGCGCGTGTGTGCATTGGCCTTCGTGCTTTTTGTTCTGCTGTTAGTGCTGTTAGTGATGTTAGTGCTGTTAGTGCCTTTACTAGTGTTAGTGCTGTTAGTGTTGTTGTTCTGTTAGTGTTGGTAAAGTTGCTGTTGTTAGTGTGGCTACTGTTGTTAGTGTTGCTCGTGTTGTTAGTGTTGTTCAAGTAGTGCACATGGTTTCTTTGTTTGTTTGTTTGTTTGTTTGTTTGTTTGTTGTCGTCGGTTTGTTGTATGTTGTTTGGTTTTGTTTTTCTTTTTGCTATTGTTCTTGTTTTCTTTGTGTTTGTGTTTGTGTTTGTGTTCGTGTTTGTGTTTGTGTTTGTGTGTGTTTTTTTGTTTGTCTGTCTGTTTGTTTGTTTGTCTGTCCGTTTGTCTGTTTGTCTGCTTGTCTGCTTGTCTGCTTGTCTGCTTGTCTGCTTGTCTGCTTGTCTGCTTGTCTGCTTGTCTGCTTGTCTGCTTGTCTGCTTGTCTGTTTGTTTGTTTGTTTGTTCGTTTGTTTGTTTTGCTTGTTCTTGCTGTTGCATTGTTCGTGTTGTAGTGTTGTTGTTGGTTGTGGTGGTGGCGGTGGTGGCGGTGGTGGCGGTGGTGGTGGTGGTCGCGGGTGGTGCTGGGGTGGGGTTGGGCTGGCCGTGTGCTGGGTGTGCTGGTGTGGTTGCTGGAACGCTGGAACTAGGGAGCGGCTTGTTGGGACTGAATAGCAGGAGTAGGAGTTGGAAGATATGCTTGGCTTCAGGGCGTGTTCGTGTCAGGTCTTGCTAGTTTTTTCCGCTGCGTCTGCAACTTGTTCCATGCCAGAACCTCCATGGTTGAAGCGGTCATTGACTTCTGGCACGTTTCCAAGCCAGGTCAGCTGGGTGAAGGAGGGATTCCGCATGGCGCAGCTGATGCTCAATGCGGGAGCAAACGACCTCGGTGGCACCCTTATGAACCTGGGATTTAAGCAAGCCCTTAGTTTGCGGGCATGGGGCAGGTGACTCAGCTGCCTCCTTTTTGCCTTAGGTCAACAGCATGAGAACACGTTGGGAATAATTACAGAAACGGTGCAGAACTGAGGGACCCTAGAGCATAAGAAGAAGCCGGTCGAGGATAAAAGCTTGAAACGGCTTTTGGGGCCCAGGAGCAAAAGCATGAGAAAAAAGCAGTCTAAAACTTACTTGCACGCCGTCTGTGAAAATTTCAGCGTTGAAATCTCCAACTTGCAAGCTTTGTGATAGTTTTATGCTCCCCAGCCCGATATTTTATGAGCATGTCCCCTCGCTTCACAAACAAAGATGTTTGAACCCACCAAATGCTTTGAGGTGGCAAGCCTCCCCCCTAAGCAAGAAGAAAACCGCTGTCCACGCCTTTTAATTGGCGACCTGCCGGCCACCTAACTTATTAAGGCTTAGGGTTTAAAGGGGGCGCCTTCAGCAAGTCCATCCGTCTTGCTTCGATTAAATCCCCAAGTGCAGGATGACGTACCCCCACAGCCCAAAGACCCGCAAACCCCACAACAGTCAGTGGCCAAATCCCCAAAACCAGCAAAAGGAACGAAAGCATCTCCACGGCAGCTGGCGCCCAATACGGGCAGCTGGCCAAGCCTTCGGAGCCGCTTGGTCGAGGTTCAGGCGGGTGGGTTCAGGGAGTTTCGTGACAGATGGAGCCCTTTTCTTTTGCCAATGTGAAATTTTTTGGTTTTCAATCTCGCAGTTACGCAGAGCTGAGCCCATGCTGTTACAAGTAAATCTAGCATGCCCAAGAGGCATAGGTTGTGAAGCTACGGTTAGCTCTTGCATTTTCTATTAGCACAGCCCCAAGCTCCCAGTCTCAAGCCCGGGCACAGTTCTCTGAATTCTGGTCATGACATTGTCTGTCCGGAGTGTTTAGATCTTTCCTACGATGTACATTTTTCAGGTTTAGGAAGTTTAGGGTCGAGAGCGAGGCTTTGTCTTGAGGTTGGCAGTTTACATTCATGCTGCTTTGCTGTGTGAAGTAGCAATCTGAAAAGCATCCTAACATAGCCATTGCCACCTAATGAGGGAATCCATCAACTCCTTCTTCGGGCATACGACCAAGGCTTCGTCGTCTTGTCTGGGAGCTTGGGGGGCGCTCCGTGGCTGAGCGGCGCACAACCTACGACATCGTGCAACGCCCCCGGGCTCATTGGAAGTCTGGGGCCAGGGCGGCCAGGCGCCCTCAAATGCCGCCTGAAATCCTCGACCCAACTCCCGGTCCTACATGCTCCAACAAAAAAACCAAGCAACAGCTCTCGACCCCAGGCTTACCCCCCAGACCCTCGACTCCTTACACTAGCCGCACTATCGGTCACTATCGCATCTGACAAGCCGTATGCTGTGAGCGGGCTGCCACTGCTTCAAGTCTCTTGAGGCTTCGAGAGCCCGGCATCTGACTCTTGGGAGTGCTTGGCAGAGGCCCCCTCGCTGCTAAAGCTGATCCAGCTGGGGGGTCTTTGATACGAGGAGGAACTGCTGGAATAATTGTAGCAGCGTTGAGGTGCATGTTCCACGTGTTCCTCAAACAGTGTCGGTGATCAGTGGCCTCTCAACCTGATGTTCCTTGTTGGGGTGTCCGGGTTTCTGTTTGGGGGATCAGGGTTTGAGGGCGCATCAAGATTCCAGGAGTTCGAATGAAATTGGGGCCCTACGAAGCCTTCGGGCCTTCAGGGCTCTGTCCGAGGGCTCTGTCCGAGCTGCATGTCTTAAACCGGTCAAGCTCTTCAGCACCCTTTGATGCACAGCACGACTTACAAATTATCTTTTCCATCTTGGTATGTTACAACGACTAGTCTTTGGACACAGTTAAACTGATAAACTGAAAAAATCTTTTAATATTTTGTTAATATTAGAACATTTATCGGGGCATCGGGCAACAAAGAGAAGCAACGGGTGGGGAACACCTCCATGATGGCTCGGATGTTTCGCAACATTATTCCTAAGCCTTGTTCCTATGAAAGATATTTCAGTAGAACAGACCATTCTCCATTGTCTACGGCTATGGGTTTCGGTGTTATGTTTTCTTGTTTTAAAATCGGGTGGGGCATTCTATAAGGGTTGAGTATGCTTGTTCCTATGAGGTTATGCGTGCTTCCGTACTATGGGTTTCATCATGTGGGTCTTTCCATGGGGTCTTTCGGTGGGTTCAAGGTTGAGGCATAGGTGCTAGGGGGTGGTGCATGGTTAGAGAATTGACATGGTCTCCACTAACTTAAATTCCCCTCTCCCCCTCCCCCGCCAAATGCGAAGCCCTGTACAACAACAGCGAAGTTCCTGGCAAGCAGCCTAAGGGCTCTAGCGCATGGCCGGCAGCAAAAAGCCGCCAAACCAGGCCGTGAGACCCCCAAACCAAGCCCTGCAATGTCATACAACAAGCTGAAAGCCGAAGCGCACCCCAAAAAGCTGGCAGGCCGAGACCCGTGCGGAGAGCCGCGAGGCCCCAGCGAAGTCCTTGGAGGAGGCGCGAACGATTTGGGGGCCAAGGCCTTGGGGGGCCCCGCCTAAGGGAACACCCCCCCCCTCCTTTTGCCCCCCCACCCCCCCCCCTATACACAGAACCCACCAAAGGCAGCTCGAAACCTTGCTGAGGTTGCAGACTCTGCGGACACCTTCGGCTCCTTCCACCGGCTAATCGCTTCCCCCAACTTCCGGCTTCCTGGCATTTGTGTCGTTTTCGGCCTCTTTGCGTTGGCTCTTTTTGGACAGCTCCTTATATTTTTACAGTTGCGGGTAGCCGCAGCAAACTTCGGTGTGTCCAGATGATCACCAATTACTTCTGAAATCCGCATGGTTTCTGTCCACAACAAAGTCCACAGCTCCTGCGCATGGCATGCCCTCAAACCCATGTCCCCGAAACCCTTAGTTAAAAAGCCCAGGTTCCGGGAGCAGCGCAAGCCCACCAGCACAGCGTTGGGAGAGGCCCGTGCTAATCTTGGCATATCGCTTGCGGAACACCTCCCAGGAGTTTAGCGATTCAAAGCTTTCGGAGCAGGGCCTGGGGTTTTGGCTTGAGGGCTGCGAGGCTGCTGTGGCTTTGGGCTGATCATCACACAGAACCTCGAGCGTCTACACATCTTTTCGATGTTCTTGTGGCCCATTGCCCTCGATGATCCCGATGGTTTGAAATCTAGCATCCGGAGACGATGCTGAAATCTCAAGCCCCTGAAGCCTACAGGGAGAGCTGCGATCCTCCCAAGCCATGCCCCTCGAAGCTTAGACGAGGCGATTGCACCCAGCATGCCTGGCTCGGGTGCTCGGCGCTTCTTCGCGTCGCCTGCGATGCGTGTCGTCACCCTGCTATGCTTAGCTTCACCTTTTCCCTTGGCGGCACAATAAACCAACAAAGGACTCATGCTCTGAAAGAAAATCGTACTTGCAGAACACTCTTTGAAGGTGTGGACCCTCAAGCTTGAACCAACTACCAAGCTATTTGTGCTTTAGGGTCTTTAGGATGTGGGTTCAGTGGGCTACATGGCTTTAGGGCCTGTCTCTGCTTTGAAGACGACAAGTGGCACCCTAATCCTGCCTATTTGTGCGCCAGGTCACCTATTCTCCCTCCTACACCATGGTGCCAAGCTACGAGTGCTTCAATGCTTGCACCTACTGCAACTTCCGCAGCCCTGTCACGAAGGACATTTTGCCTTGGGTTGTGGGGGAGGGGCCAATTGCGGGCAAAGGAGCTCATTCTTTTCTGCGTTGGGGGGGGGCATCCTGAAGCTTTGACACAGGTCTTTGTGAGGTTCAGGCTCACGCTTTAGGGTCAGGCTCGCCGATGGAGTGAAGCTCCAGTACTTGGATGCCAAGTTTGATCTCAGAAGGCTTTTTGCATGAAAGCAGCTTCAAGTCAGACACCCCTGTCAGCTACTTGAGGTAGTCTACAATGAAAACCCATGAATCCAGAAGTTAAAAAGAATTAAGTCCTGATGTAATTGTTGCTTCTGGGTTGGGTTTTGACCTACCTCGACATACCTTATCCCTACAAAAACACAATTAAATCGTGATTTAATTGTGTTTCTTTGCGTTTGACTGGAAGACAATTAAATCGTGAGTTAATGGTGCAGCAAAGACTTGTGCTAATTGGTACCTGTTTGCACCATTAAATCATGATTTAATTGCACTATTATTATTGCTATTACTATTAGTCTTATTATTACTATTACTACTAGTCTTATTATTCCTATTACGATTAGTCTTATTATTACTATTACTATTAGTCCTATTATTCTTATTATTATGAATATTAGTATTATTATTACTATTACTATTATTATTCCTATGATTCTTATGTTTACGAACAATATTATCCTTATTCTTCTTCTTCTTATTATTTTCTTATTACTATTACTATTACTATTATTATTACTATTACTATTTCTATTTCTATTTCTATTACTATTACTATTACCATTACTATTACTATTGCTATTGCTATTGCTATTGCTATTGCTATTGCTATTGCTATTGCTATTATTATTCTTCTTCTTATTGTTACTACTATTATATTATTACTACTATTATTATTCCTATTATTATCATGATTATTATTACTATTATTATTTCTATTACTATTACTATTCTTCTTCTTATTGTTACTATTATTATTATTATTGTTCTTCTTCTTATTATTATTCCTATTATTATCATTATGACTATTACTATTATTATTACTATTATTATTTTTATTATTACTATTATTATTACTACTATTACTTTAGGGGGAACAATTAAATCGTGATTTAATTGTTGAAAGGTAGGGGGGAACAACTAAATCGTGATTTAATTGTTTCTGCGGGTTGGGATCGTCTAGCAGAAACAATTAAATCCTGATTTAATTGTTTTCCTTGAGAAGCTTGCCGGCATGGCATGCTGCGTCGCGCGACGTCAGCAGGCAATTAAATCGAGAGTTAATTGTGCTCGACCTAAGGGGCGTCGAGCCGGCCCGATGCCGGTCAATTAACTTCAGAGTTAATTTTCCTTAACTCTTGGATTCACTGTCTTCCAGTCTACAATGTCCACCAAGCCCGAATCACGCCCCTATGATGCCCCTGAAGCTTGCCCTGCAGGAGGGCCAAGATTGGATGTCCGATGAAGCTTGGATCTTCAGAGTGGAGGGTTCCAAGGGTTCGGCTCTGAGGTGTCAAGGCTTAGGAGTTTAGGGTCCTAGTTGGGGGACGCGGGCATCAGAGCTGCTGAAATCTCCTGAACAATTCCTGCCGCCTGACTGCTCCTAGAGGACGACCCACCTCCCCCCCCTCCGAGACCTGTGCATTGCTGACCTTTCAAAAAGTACAGTCGGCTTTTTAGGCACGAGTCTCTGTTTTCACACTGAAGGGCAGTATCCTGCTAAAACCTTGAGCATTAAATTGGACTGACATGGACCTGCTGCAGATCTCAGATCCTCAGATCTTCAACCAGGCACAAACTTAAAACAAGTATCATGCATGGCCGTAAGTCGGCCTGCCCTTTGCAGTAGCTCAGGCCCAAAACTCGGCGGAGTGTAAAAACGCATACTCGTACATAATACCAACGGCTTCAGGAATGAAACGCGCATTCAACTAAGCAGAAACGCCCCCAACGAAGCAGCATCTCTTTCACACCGGCAGCTGAGATTCCTCAAGTGATCAACAGAAACGTGCACGCTTCAGCTGCTTCAGAGATATTCTTTCCTTTTCGTTCTACCTGGTTGGACAGACTCTGATGAGTCTCCCCGAGGAGATACAGCACCTTTACATGACAAGGATGTGCGGATATGCCTTTCACCGGTGATGCTTTCCATCATGAAAACGAAAGAAAGACGGCTGGCAAACTCCGCAGACAAGAGGGGAGTGCCCTCTCCTACAAGAGGCTTCTCACCTACCAAGAAAATGTCAATCAAAGCCAAGGCGGCCGCTCGGAAGAAGCTCACGGCCCCAGGCCTCGCGACGGTGGAGGCGCCTTGGCGTTTCGAGCCCCCCTTTTTAAGCTTTGTGTTGCTCGTTTCTTGGGTTCTGATGGCTTTCCAGGTTTTTTTTTTCCCCATGGTTTCCAGATCTCTGGGTTGATGAGGCTTTGTGAAAGATGGGAGATCCTGCGTCCCTCATCGCGAAACCCTTCAATAAGCCCTGAAGTAAACCCTGAGCTCCAACCTCGGAACTTGCCCCCTTTCGAGTAGGGTTTAGGCCCAACAGGGCATCAAGGAATGTACGATCTGAGCGTATTTAGATTGTCTTTGCAACTTGTCTTGGGATCCTGCCTCGGAACCACAGGATTGTGAGCCCCATTTTGGGGTCCCAGGAGATCCTGGTGATGGCCGGCGAGGTCCATCCTGCCGCGCCCAACCGTGCCGCATGGGTCCAACGGGCAGACGCCCGGCGAAAAACCCCCTATATGCAGAGGTAGAATGCCACGTGACTCGGTCCCTGGCCTCAACATGCTCAGACCAGAACCCTAAATGTAGCGTAGGCCCTGTCTGCTCTCCACCCCGAAATGCCGAACAAAAAGTCAAGGAAAGCATCTGCTTATTGGCTCTGGAGTATGGCTTTCTTCCCCACACGCGCCTCGGCAGCCTCGGCGGCCTCGGCAGCGGGAGCTTCAACACTCCAAGATTCTAAGCAAATCCCAGGGTCACCAGAGCACGGGGTGTGAGCTTCGGTAGGCTTCTGCGGCGCACGGGATCATGGGATGGGCTTGTCAAGGATACTGGGTAGTGAAGCCGGATATTTCTGGATAGTCGAAGTGTCAGAATTTGCTCCACATGCCCAAGATTGTCAGTGAAACCTTCGTCGCGCAGCAGCTTGGAATTAACGGGCTGTCCACCGCGTTCGCATCACCTCCAGGGCAGCGTTGGGTGGGCAACGTGCAAGGGCTTAGGGTCTTCCACAACCTCTCCTCGAATATTTCTCAGAATAGGGGTACCCCTTTTTTGCCCCAAGTGGAATAGACTCCTCTTAGAGGGACCCCCAACAAGGGTTCCCCCTATGTTCGGAAACCCCCCCCAAATCTGCAATACTCTCCCAGGAACATCGGGCCCCTCAGCCGCGAGGAGATGCAGCGCCTGGCAGCCGTCAACGCCTCTATGGGCCTGATGCTGGAGCAGGCGTTTGGGGTTCCGTTTTGGGTCAAGGATTTGAAGGCTTTAAAGTGCCACCTTAGACATTCAGGATCTTACGGTGGGTGTATAGAGGCAAGGGACTTGCGCTTCGGGGGGGGGGTTGGAGTTTAGGGGCTGACTTGAAGGGTGCAGGGTTTGAGAGTGATACTCGGGCTTGTGAATCTTACAAGTCTATATTCTTATAAGCCTATTGGGAATTGCAAGGTCTCTTTGCGCTTGATTCTTTCAGCAGTTCTTCGGTCCTTAGATGCAGTCTACGTGGGTTGAGTTTTTTTTTCATACGGGTGCGTGGTTGCGAGCTACAGCCATGGCTGGGACGAGTGTACGTCGCAGCCGAGTTGCTCGCTGCGCGAAAAAATATGGGGAGTAGTTCGCTATCGGAAAGCCGAAAAGGAGTGGAGAATGGCAAGCCCGGCAAACCCTAAACCCAAAATGGAGTGGGAAACTTCAAACCCTGCACCAGCCCTGAAGACGATGAAGCTTAGGCAGCTCCCTTGCCAGTGCATCGCTTTGCACCGAGCTCCCCGTCCTGACAACGTGAATTGAGCTTCCTTTTTGGGTTTAGGGTCCCTTTCAGAGTTCAGGGTTCAGTGTCCGGCTGAGGGCTGACTGGCTTAGTGCCTGGTTTAGTTGCGTTGGTTTGGTGCAGCTCTACAAGTAAAGTCGCGCAGCAAAAAAACAGCGAGGAAGGCCCCGGGCGCTTTAGCCTTCTGCTGTTAGATGTAGTGGAGAGTAGCAGTAAAGGAAGCCAGGCAAGGGTTGATGTTCCTTGGGCTTTGGTTTTGGGGGGGAACATCGATGTGTAGGGCCCTAAGCCCCAGGTAAGCAGCCATCCATTCGCCTGGATCAGCTGCGTCAGGCAGTGCGCTTTCCCGAACCTCCAAGCCCTCCTCATTCCTAGGGATCCCACAGTCGAAACTGCGGCCCACATCCCGTGAGGGCTCTAGCCTAGTGGACGGGAAGTAGCCCCGCGTGTCCGCAAGCAGTTGCTGCAGGCAACAAGTACACGTAGTTCGTACAGCTTTGATTGCACTTCGAAATCATTCGATGTGGCTCACGGAGAGTGCTACTGCAGATGTGAGCAGTGGGTGCAAGTGTAGTGTCGCGGCTTCCCGAGCCAGCACCCTTCAACAAATCCGCACCACTGTTCCTCAGCCCCCCCCGGACAAGTTCCTCCTTCGATGTTGAAATGCTGGCGGTCCTATTCCACAAACATAACCTTGGGACTCGAATCATCCTTTGGAACACAGACAACCCATATTCCTAAACCTGAAGTTGCATTTTAACCATTTGGCTCCTCTTTTCTCAGTAGGGGTGTCACGGAGGCTGGAGAGCTTGGCGTGCCCTTTACTACAGGCCTCCTGGTGGGCATCGGCGAGGATGCCGACCAAAGGCCCACAGTTCTTTTCTAGGGTTGTGGCTGATGTGGGGGTAGTCTGTAAGACTCTAAAACATGTCGGGCAGCGTGCGCAAAGCTTTGAAGTGTGTTCTTCGGGCAAGCGTCTAGGGGCATGAACGAGACCTGGATCTGCATCCAGCAGGCGACCGGTGTTGTTCAAGTCTGACCCGAGGGGGGGAGTCGACCGGCACGTGTGCAAGAAGCAAGATCAGAATTGTGATGATTGCGAGCCAGGACACTGTCGACTGACAGTGCCCAAGTCAACCAATGAAGGAGTGCTCCGTGGAGAAGGGGCTAGCCGCTGGCTAGCCGATTAACCAGCGCTTGTCCAGCGCCCGTTCTGCTTCTCCTCGCAGAAAACGTGGCCAGTCGCCCACGTAGAAGGCGATACCTAGCATTATCGAGAGACGGGCATCGCAGAGACGTAGCGTCGGCATCAACGGCACAGCAGCATACTGCAACAACAATGCTGAATGGTTCTTCACGCATAGAAGTGCAAACTCTGAGTGCGCGCATGCCTTCCCAAGCGCGAGAATGCTGCTCTCAATCAAAGACTATAGCTTGTACCTCACGGAAATCATCAGAGAGCTGCCACCCCCGCCGATACACGTCACACCGTACAAAAACCATTCTGCACAGTCGCGCCGATCCGCCTCATACGGTCCGAAACAAATCGGCCGACGCTGCAGCTGTTCACGTGAGGGCAGCCCCAAGAATAGACATGCGGACTTATCCGGTCCTTTTACTTTTTTGGGGCGGACGGCGGTTGGAAAGTTTTCGGCGGGGTTTGGCTCTTGGAGGAGGCTTTAAGAAAGCTTGGCTTGGGAGGCTTTGCTTGGAGGCGTTGCTTTGGGGAATCTGCTTTGAGTGCTTCGGTTGTGGGAGCTTTGCTGCGGGAGCTTTGCTGCGGGAGCTTTGCTGTGGGAGCATTGTTGTGCTTGTTTCGCGGGCTTTGCTTTGGGGGCTTCGCTTGCTTTGGGGATCTTTAGGGCTTTGTTGGGGCTTTGGGGGGCATTGCCGGGGCTTTGGGGGTTTTGGAGCTTCAAATCTTTCAGGTTCAGAGCTTGTCCGTTTACATCTCCGAGGAACTCATGACACGAAGTGGCTTAGGGTGGATGGCAAACGTAAGCAACCAACTTCGGAATTGTCTACGCCGGAGCCTTTGCTTTAAATCTCAGAATCCCGAGCTGCAAATGTCCAGCGGCTTAGAAAATGGTATGTTTCGGTTTTTCAAAGCTTGGGGTTCGGGTATTGACAGCTTGTCGCTGTGGAGCCGTTGGGCTTCCATTGTGTGCCCTTGTGGAAGCCTGGAAGCTTGTGCCCTTAAACCCACTACACCCAAAGCCCACTATGAGCTAAACATGAGCTGTCCTTGCGAACATACTACTACTCTGCCCAGACCAGTTCGGGGCTTCGGCAGCAGTGCTGGGCGTGAATCCTTACAGAAAAGACCGCAGAAAGCCAGTCCAGGCTGGTGTCGCTGGAAGTCCTCGCAGGCCTCGCTGAGGAGTTCGAGCACATCCAGGCCTGCCGTGGCGCATGTCGCTGGATGTCGCTGGCAACCTACTCAAGGTGACAATGGTTTTTCAAGCACAGCGCGGTGCTTACTCATTGTTGTCACGCTTTTCTGTTGTCCATACTCTGCGGTTTGTAGGTGCCATGGCCTACCCAGACAACAGTTTCGGAGCTCGGGCACCAGCTTCGGGGATCGCGGTGTTCATGTCGCAACATGTGACGTGGCCAACTACGCACATTCTGTGGTCGAAATCGCGCTCCCGCCCTGGTTCCATGCGCTGCATCGTGGGATCATCCAGTTCTCGTGTCAAGAAACGGTGACAGGTGACGGGGACGTACTTTCCTGCCTCCGGTGATCGATGCGCGTGCGTTGCCCCACTTTTCACCTGTCTGTCAACCACTCCCTTCCTACTTTCCACTTTCACTTGTTCTGTTATCGCCCTCACTTTCCACCTTTCTGCTTTCGCCGTTTTTCCTTCTGCTCTTCCAATTTCCACTTCTTCTGCTACCCATGCACATGGGTAGCAGAAGAAGGGGAAAGTGGAAAGGACTTTGAACATGACCACAAAACATGGTCTGGTTTTGGGGGGAGCACCAATGACTGAGACATCTAAAAAAAGGAGTATGTAGAGACCGTGGCTTGGCTGTACATGTCGCATGTCCGAGAGAACCTCTTGCGACTCAATGCCAAACGACGCTCTGGAGACAAGGGTCCCTTCAAAGCCTAAGGCTTTAAGGAAGCCTTTGAACACTCTGCTCAAAAGTCCCCCGCTCCCTTCACCTTCTACCCCGAGCCTTGAAAGCCTTGAGTGTAAACCCTGCCCGGAGTTGGCCCAAATGGCCAGGAGGTAATTCTGCAGCCCCACTCGCTGGGCTCCAGCCAGCGGCTGCGGCCCAGTACGGGGAGCCAGGAGAGGAAGGGTGTTTTCCTGTCCGGTGCAGTGTGGCAGGTGTGGCTCTTCGAGTTGCTGGGCTTGTGTGGTTTGTGCTTCGTTGCGTGCAGGCAAGAAGGGTTTTGCATTTCTGAAGCTGTGGGGTTTGAGTCCACACACACCCACCCACCCACCCACCCACCCACCCCACCCACCCACCCACCCACCCACACCACCCACCCACCCACGCACGCACGCACGCACGCTCGCACACGCACAAGCTCTCTCTCTCTCGCTCTCTCTCTCTCTCCCTCTCGCGCTCTCTCCCTCCCTCTCGCGCTCTCTCTCTCTCTCTCTCTCTTTCTATTCTTGTTGCGAGCGAAGCAACAGCATGTTGTACAAACTTCTTTTTGAATGGGGTGCCAACTATATCCAGAACAGGATTGCTAAGAGCGCGTGATTCTCAATGAATGAAGCCCAGACCAAGATGTCTGAGAGCATGGCATGTTTATGAAGCTTCCTTCTGAAGTGTTAGCACAGAAATTTGATAGACAGGATTTCTGAGAGCGAGGCCTGTTTATGGATCTCCCACTAGGTGGACTTGCGAACGAAGCCTGGAACGGGATGTCTGAGAAGATCACTTTTGCATAGGCTCTTGTTCAAAATGGATCTTTTTGCGAGCGATTGCACAGCCCTTGCACTTTGCCTTCGGCGAGGTGAGGGAGTGTTTGCTATTCAGGCGCGATCTTGTTCCTTCGTCCTTTCGCAGGATTCGGGCGCCCTCTTCGGCAAGGCATCGTTGGGCGCGCTCCCAGACCTGGCTCCTCGTTGCTTCTGGGGGGGTCTGCCTTTGGGTTTGGGCCAAGGTCTTAAAGAGGGGCATGTGGCGGTGTTGGCAGTGGCCCGGCGGCGGCAGTGGCGGTGGTCGGTGGTCGTTTGTCGTCTGTCGATTGTCGTAGTTTGCTGCTCGTTTCACCTTCTGAATCTGTAGGTCCCTCGAACCTGATCCTTCCATGGTTTGGGGTTAAGGGTTCTGGGCTTACATGATTGTGTTGTTGGGATAAGGTGGAGGGTCTCAGGTTTGGGGTTTAGGGTTCTGAGCTTGCACGATTTCACGGGTCGTTAGGTCGTTAGGGTTTGGGTTGTTTAGGGTTTAGGGTCTAGGTTTAGGGGTTTTAGGGTTTTTAGGGTTTAGGGTTTAGGGGATTTTAGGGTTTAGGGTTTAGGGGTTTTACGGGATTAGGGTTTAGGGTTTTCTAGGGTTTAGGGCTTAGGGGTTTTCAGGGTTTAGGGCATAGGGGTTTCTTTGGTTTAGACTTTAGGGTTTTTTGGGTTTAGTATTTTTGGGTTTAGGGCTCAGGGATTGTTGGCTCAGGGGTTTTCCTGTTCAGGGTTTAGGTCTTTTTAAGGCTTTTACTGTTTTTTATTCTTTCTTTTTTGCAGGGGTTTTGGCGGTTTGGGATTTTGGGGGTTTTGAGGCTAGGGGTTTTTGGGGTTTAGGGCTCAGGGGATTTTAGGGTTTAGTTTTTTTTTGGGTTTAGGGCTTGGGGTTTTTTAGGGTTTAGGGTTTAGGGTTTTAGGGGTTTAGGATTTTTTGGTGTTTAGGTTCAGGGTTTAGTGGGTTTTTGGGGTTTTGGGGCTTTTCGGGTGTAGGGCTTAAGGGCTTTTAGGGTTTGAAGCCTTGCCAGGAACAGCGGGTAAGGGGGTAGTAACAGCGGGTAATTGGGGAGTAACAGCGGGTAGGGTTTGGGTAGGGTTTCTTCGGGTTTAGGGTTTATGGTTTGGGGGCTAGGTCCTTTTCCAGACTTTTTTGTTGGTGAGATCAGCCCGGCCCTGCAGCTGCAGTGCTCGATAGAGTTTTGCATCGGCGAAACTCAACCAGCCAGCCCTGTGGCTTGGAGGCGGGGCATCCGCTCTTGTGCCTTCCGTTCTCAGCTACCTCTTAAATGAGGATGCCTGGCAGCCGGCGACTGGTCGAGGCCCATCTGGACCTTCCTGTGCGGTGTTAAAAGTAACGACGCGCTGCGAGACCCTCCAGATACAAAGGGAGAAAGAGAGAACGAGAAAAGAGTTAGATTGCAGACAGGTTGGTCCCTGCCTCTTTGGCACAGAGTCTTCATGGCGTTGTCACGTTGGCTCCTGCATCTTTCGCGAAGGGTTTTGATAAGACCGCTGGAGTTATCTGGAGGTCTAGGATGGGGCGGCGCCATGGCTTCTGCTCTTCTCGTTTGTATTGATGCGTGAGGGGTGAGGCGTCCTAGCAGCAGGGCGACTCAGGGGTCGAGCAATTATGTGCCAGGCATTGTGTCAGCTTCCGGCAGCAGGCAGGCAGATTCTTGGAAAGAAGCAGATGCTGCCACCGTCGTGCTTTCTTCTGACAGCGATGAGGAGGCAGATGTTGCCAGGGCAGAACGGCCCCGCGAGCAATATGAAGCAGATGCTGCCGCCGTCGTGTTTCTTCTGACAGCGATGAGGAGGCAGATGTTGCCAGGGCAGAACGGCCCCGCGAGCAATATGAAGCAGATGCTGCCGCCGTCGTGCTTCTTCTGACAGCGATGAGGAGGCAGATGTTGCCAGGGCAGAACGGCCCCGCGAGCAATATGAAGCAGATGCTGCCGCCGTCGTGCTTCTTCTGACAGCGATGAGGAGGCAGATGTTGCCAGGGCAGAACGGCCCCGCGAGCAATATGAAGCAGATGCTGCCGCCGTCGTGCTTCTTCTGACAGCGATGAGGAGGCAGATGTTGCCAGGGCAGAACGGCCCCGCGAGCAATATGAAGCAGATGCTGCCGCCGTCGTGTTTCTTCTGACAGCGATGAGGAGGCAGATGTTCCCAGGGCCGTTCTGCGGCCCCGCAAGCAATATCGTCGTTGCGACAGTGGCCAGCAATCCTTTGATGTGCAATTGGTCCCTGGACAGTGCAAGAGTGTGGTGGAGGACAAGGTTTTCCGGACCTACTGCCGAATGGATGCAGAAGTCTGATCGCGAGCTTGGCATGCTGTCATCGGTTTGGCGTTCGGCCACAGACTTGCGAGCCAGTTGTCGGTGCTTTGAGCATGACCGCTGGAAGGGCAGAGGCACGAGCTTTCAGTTTCAAGCGACCTCTACGTGGAGCCAAGATGACAAGCGCGTGCTCCTTAGTTTCGAGGTCCAGGAGGCGGGATCATGCGACCGAGGCACGCCTCGCAAGGTGAAGGCAAATGCGCAAGCCGACAAGCCTGCAACAGTTGCAGGCAGAGGGCTCGTGCAGCAGGCAGTTGCTCATCTTGCCGAGGACAAGAAAGTGTGACACCAACAAGAGTTGCTCGCCATCTCGGTCGATCTCTCCAGATGAACCCAGACTCTGTGAGGTATTTTACCCGCAAGGGTGCCAAGGAACTCGAGTCACAAGCAGGCGCTGACAACAAGCCGGAGACCTCGCGGCGTCAACAGTTGGCGCCTGTCTCACGAGAAGCGTGGGGCGAGCTTCACTGCCAAGAATCTGTGGTTGTGGCGGAGGCTTTCCAGCGGCTCTTTCGTGGCGCTGGTGATGCCCGTTTTACGCGAGCTCCAGGTGCTGCGCTCTGGCGGCTTTTTGCCTAAGATCTTTTTGGCTGCCGACTCTGCCGACGTCACGTTTGACATCGAGATTGAGAGCTGGAAATACACGTGCTTGACATGCGCAGTTTACTGACGATTGTCGGGCCGATGGCGCAAGTCGGGTTTGCCAGTCGCTCTGTGTCGCCACTAGAGAGAAAGGCCCGCCAGTGGCACACAGACTGGGCCCCTGGTTTAGCTGGCAAATCGGTGGTTCCAAACATCGTTCATATATGTTCCTGGTATGGAACATTCGATACGCATTTTGAACAAGAAGTCAATTAAGACTGAAGGCGGCAAGAAGCAAGCGGTTGCGTGGCTGACTGGCCCGGGCTCCCTGTTGTCTCCAAGTACTTGTGCCTTATAGCTGGGCTGCCTACCAAGTCTTCTCCAAATCTTCTTGGAGCGTGTTCGAACTGGATGGCAACAAGCGACTTGGGAAAAGTAGTTCAGGCAACAATGCACCTACACGGCCCGACTCGCCAGTGCCGATTACGGTGTTGAGCAAGCTACTATTGGCCGACGGTGGCTTGGAACGACAAGCCCACTCTGCCAAGGGCATCTCAGCTCGCAACAGCAGGCTGAACAGTCGCACAAGCGCCTGAAGCGGAGCTTGTGCGATGCTCCAGATCGAACCGTCAAGGAGGCCTTTAAGGGGGGCTTGGTACTTCCATCCTTTTGTAGCCGCACGCTCAATTTCAGACTCCACTGCAGGCCCTTACCCTGTGATGTCCAATATTTCAGCCTTGGGGAACCATCCAAATCACGGATGCCCTTTCACATGTGCCCTTCAGGTGTTTACGAGCTTGGTCGAAGCCGTGGACTTGTGGACAGGCAGATCAGATGAAGAAAACAGCCTCCATCTTTTCACCTCTCCAGACAACACGGCTTCCTTTCCCACTACCCCAGATGACTGGCGTCAAACTGCTTCCGCGCACCCAACGCTTCGTGCAGGATGCGAAGCGTGTGCCATGCATCGCTGAGAGGCGCAAGGGCCGCACTCAGGCCTTCTTTGTGAAGACCGGCGCGCCAGCAGCCCTGGATGAGGCCATCGTGGATCGGTGCTGGCAACAACCGCAGACAAAGAACCTTCGGGACCTGCAGGTTTTGCTGACGGAGCACGGTCTAGTCAAAGAAATGGCTGATGGCGCAAAACTGGTCCTTGAGGCATTTTCTGAGACCTGGGTGAACATGTGCTGCGTTACTCACGAGCAGCACAGGTCCAGGTCCACCCGGCTCGGCGATGTCCAATGTTCTTGCCGGCACTTTCGCGCGAATCCAGACCAGACAAGGCTCTGGTTTTTCGTGTTTGTGCCTGAATTTGCAAAACCAGGTCGCCCGGCAAGCTTGAGCACTTTGCCATCGATTCTATGCTGGTTCAGACCACGCCCGTGATCAAGGTGGACCAGCCGTCGTTCGTCCGAACTGCTAATTCCTTGATCACAGCATGGCCCAAGATGGATGACCAAGCTTTTCAGGAGCCATTTGTCAAAGCATGATGAAGGGATGCTCCGAGCAGGTTCCAAAATGCTCATGTAGCCGGTGCAGGACAAACTCCCTTCATGCAAAGGCTTTTTGGAGAGGGGACACCACTAGTCCATGCCTCAGTCGCCATTCCAACCAAGGCAAGTTGAGCGGGCGTGATTTCGGCCCTTTTTGAGGCTTCCGCCCTTCAGGCAGCGCGAAACGAGGATGACCGGCCCCGAGCTCACTGCCGCACTGTGAGGTTTTTCGGGGAGGGATCGGGCGTCCGCGCTTTGAGGCTTTTGGCCTTGACGCAGCGCAAAACGAGGATGCCTAGACTGCCACCAGCTGAGTGGGCCTCGGGCAATGGCAGAAGAAGACGCCCAGGTCCTGCCCCTGCCGCCGGCTGCGGACAATGGCGAGCTAGAAAAAAAAACTGTGGCATTTTGCCTTGTGATTGCCCCTGCTCTTTGCGCTGTAATTGCCCCTTGCTTTTTGCACTGTTATTGCCCCTCTCCGAGCTGTTATTGCCCCTCCTCCTTGGCGCTGTTATTGCGCGCCCTCTTAGGGTTTGCCTTAGGGATTTCTAGGGTTTAGGGCCTAGGGGTTTTTGGGTTTGTAGGGTTTAGGGCGTAGGGGTTTTTCAAGGTTTTGGGTTTAGGGCTGAGGTATTTGGGTGCTTGAGGGTTTAGGGCTTAGGGGGTTTTAGGGTTTGGGGTTGTTTTCGGGGTAGGGCTCAGGGTTGATTTTTTGGGTTGAGGGCTTGAGGCTTTTAGGGGGTTTTTTAGGGGTTATGGTTTAGGGTTTTTTGGGGTTTGGGGTTTTGGGTGTTTAAGGTTTAGGGTTTAGGGTTGTTGTAGGGTTTAGGGCTTAGGATTATTTTTTCGGTTTAGGTTTTTGGGGTTTGAGCTGAGGGGTTTTAGGGTTTCAGTTTTTTTGGGTTTAGGAGGGGGTTTTTCGGGTTTAGGGGCTTTTGGGGGTTTTGGGTGTTTTAGGGTTCAGGGTTTTTAGGGCTTAGGGGTTTTTAGGGTTTTTTGGCACCCTCCCATTTGCAAGCACAACACTCGCATGATGGGTTCGAAAAAGAATAAAGCGGGGGGCTTTGGGGGGGGTGGGGGCGCAGCCCCACCCCCCCCATTTGCAAACACAATGTTCGCCTGATGTATGTGTTTGAAAAAAACTCTGAAGCAAGCTTGCAGCTTAACACGCGGGTTGGGGCAGCCCAACCCCCCCTCCCATTTGGAAACGCAACGCTCGCATGATGGGTTGTGGGTTGGAATTCGAAAGCATTTGCAAACACAATGCTCGCATGACGGGTTGGAAAAAAAACCTGAAGCAAGCTTGCGCGGCTTAATATGCGGGGAACCTCCACGAGTAAGGGGCGGATAGACCCCTATCAGAAAAGGATAGGGGTCTATGCCTAAGTCTGCCCCACTGTGTATAGACCCTGTCCCTTCTGGGAAAGGGCCTATGCATGGGTACCTATCCGCACCGGACACACCCCTGGAGATAGGGGTCTATGACCTGGGGGTAGGCGGCTGGGGATAGGGTCTATACTGATTCTGATGGACCCCTAAAAAATAGGGGTCTATCCAAAACAGATAGGCGGCTCTTACTCGAAGATAGCATCCAAAGCCCAAAGCACGTGCGGCTCCCAGGTAGCTGCCGCACGCAAGATGCTTCCCGAAGGCGTCCAGATCCAGGTGTCGAGTTGCGGGTGTTCGAGGTTGGCGGTCAGCGTGTTTAGGGTGCTCCCAGTTGTCGTACTTTTCCTAGGCATGCTTCACATTGTCAGCACACGCTCCACAGAGGTTTAGGCTTAAGGCTGGACTGCCGCGCATGCATGGGGCCTCTTTGGAAACTCCTTTGGTCTCTTTAGGACTTAGGATCTACAGGATTTGGGGGCAAACCTGAAGCCCATGTACTGAAAATGCTGTGGAGGTGCCTCCGAACCTCTTCCTCCATGGAAGCCTCTCCACGACAGGCTCCTTCAAAGGCGATGCACGGTTGCTGTTCATGGTGCAGCGGATGCAGCTTTTGGACCTGTCCTGGTGTGGTGTGCAAGGCGAGGGATGGGAGACGCTGCTGCGGTGCCTGGAGCTAGGACCGAATGAGCGAATGAGTCCTTCAGGGTTTGGTGCAGTGTGGGGGATAGGCGCGAGCTAGCGAGCTTACACTGTGCTTGTGCAGTGCGTCTATCCCTCGTGGTGGCTTGAACATGATGGCAGCTCAGATGTGGCCGGGTACCCTTGAACTCGAAACCCTAAACCGGTCACCCAAAACCCCGCCCGTATGCCCCCTATTTAAACCGTAAAGCCCGAAATCCAGAACCCTGAGCTTGAAATCCCAAACCAACACGAAAGCCCTTGCCAAAGCATGTCTCCGCAAAACCCTAAACCTTAAGACCTTTAAGTTTTTTATGTTCCCAAGGCTGATACCTCCAAGGCCCCCCCCAAAGCATGGGAGGGCGGCCTGCAGCAACCGACGCATGTCATCGTGGATGCTGCACAATGCGTGCAGATGTCGTTGGCTGCTTTTTTACACTCTCGGCCTGGGGCTGTTCGGTTTTAGATCGCCCGGCGGCCCGTCCGGTCTGGTCCGTGGAGTGCCAACCCCCAGAGAGTTCTGCAAGGTCTCCCCGAGGTGCCAAAGAAAGCACCAAGACAACTCCTGCGGAGTGCCCCCTCTAAAAGACCTTGCAAGCCCAGCACACACGAGTATCCTTGGAGTGCCCACCCCAAGGCAATCCCGCAAGAGTCCCGCCGAAGATTCCTGGACTGGAGAAGTCTGCAGAGAGTCCCGGACAGAAGTGTTGTGGCGAAGTAAAGGTTATTACCTGTCCGAAAACTCTGAAAAATGATCGAAAATTTGTGTCCTTCAGCAGATTGCATGTTGTTGCCCAGCCAAGACACCGGACCCAACACAGAAAAAACTGAAGGCTAGAAATCTGGGCTCCAAATTCCCAAACCCTCCCAGCTTGGACTCTGGCAGGAGCTGGCGACTTGGGCGGCATATCCCCGCGGGATGAGGCGAAGGGAATGATTGCGGACATCTTTGTGACACGTGGGCGTGCACGCTTTGGGCATATTTCTAGGCCAAGGAGGTTGCAGGGTGCCCGTGAACATGGAGGTGAATCCCGACTTCGACTTTCCCGTGCTGCCGGCCGTTGCGGCTGCGCTGAAGGAGGCCAGGCGATGCATTTTTGCCGTAGCTTCTTCGGAGCTTCTGTAGCGACAGCAAGGCTTTCAG